CAATACATACGCCAAACTGAAGCCCGTGACAGGACCCGACGCATTACCAAAGCTAACCATCGTGCCCTTCCTCCGCACAACAGCCAGACTGCTATCAAACGTGTCCTTGCCCACGGAATCAAACACGGCGTGCACACCCTCGCCCCCCGTAATCTCAAGAACCTTCTTGACAAACACATCCCGATCTTCTTCATGGTACTCCAGCAGCACCTCAGCGCCATTCTCCTTGGCAAGCTGTCTCTTCTCCTCCGTACTAGCCGTAGCAATCGTGCGCGCGCCCACCGCCCGAAGCATCTGACACAGCCATAGCCCCACTCCGCCAGCCGCGGCAGTGACGAGCACCCAGTCGCCTTTCTGCACGGGGTACGCTTCGCGGATGAGGGTTAGTGCCGTGAGGGCCTGGAGCAAGGCCGCGGCCGCGATCTTGCTATCGATGGAGTCCGGGATGGGGATTGTGCTCTTGCCGCTCACGGGCGTGTACTCGGCGTACGCCTGCGTGCCCATGTATACGACGCGTGATCCGACTTTCAGGTCCGAGGGTGCGTTTGCGCCGACGGCGGCGATGGTGCCGCTTCCCTCCCGGCCGAGGATGAAGGGCACTTCCGGGAGCGGGTAGACGCCTGAGCGGAAGTAGCTGGTGTGTATCAGTTTGTGTTGTGGGAAGTTTGGAATGGGGGGGGGACTCACGTGTCGATGTAGTTTATTCCTATGTACTCGTTCTTGACTAGTACCTCGCCATCTTTTGGCTCGGGGACGGGCCAGTCGGTCTTGTACTGTAGGACGTCTGTGCCGCCTGTCTTCTCAATGATGACCGCCTTCATGGTTTTCGGTAGCGACGACATCTTTCGAAATCCGAATGCTCTTGAACTAGTCTGAAAGTGTGAGCTCAGTGAAGAAAGTCTTGTGGACGCAGCTATGGGTCTGGCGAGTACTCGGGCAGTTCGAACAGAGTGTAAAACCAAAGACATGAATCGGGTATACAGACGGTAGCGTTTATATGTAGTTGAATAGACGTTGGGGTATGTATAGTGATGATTAATACCGAGCGTTAAGTCCGAATGGCGTCATCTTATCCTGGGAGAGCGCGGGGTAGTGCGGAATTGCTCTCGTGAGATTGTATTCTCCTACCATGAAACGACTGACGATATTGCTTATGTGCTGACATGGTGTCAGGTTCTTGGGCGGGTGGTGGGCCCCATCCCTACACTTCTTGAAGGTCCCTGGTCTTCAACTTCGACAACAGTTTCTATCTCGTAGCAGGGAAGATAACCCCATTCCACAAATATGAGGATAATATATACATAAATTCCCTGACTATTCCTTGGAATCCTTCGCGGCACGTTTGGTAACCACTTTGATACACTGAAGCATGGAACAACCTCAACACCATTGTAGTGAATACCGAAATCTAGCTCTACTTCTTTCCAATCGAGTCCTTTGACCCCTTGGTCTGGGATGATACGAGAGTGTCTACCTCCGCATCGTTCTGGGCGATCAAAAATAATGTGGACCTGGAGAAGATTGGTATACATTCTTTCATGTAGGGAGGGCACGTTCGAAGGGAGGAGGCGTCCATGTCACCTGAGACATGGTTACAGATGACAACCACCATGCTATATGAGAGCTATTGCTGTGTTGTCGACATTATCATTCATTTCCCAAGACTAAAGCTTCGCCTTGACGGGTGCAAATGTGCTCCCCTGCCCACCTCCAAGCGCCGCAACAAGCTCATCGACCTTCTCAAGTACCCACGTGCATCCTTCATCGCTAACAAGCCACTTGACGGCACTCTCTTCGCCCACTTCTTGGTCGGTCTTCCAAGTCCCATCATCCCACGCTTTCCTCAGTCCATAGATATGGCTCAACACCTGGGGCCCAACGCCTTGCTGAGCTCGCAGACACGTTATTGCTATCACGCTCGTTGTCAACCTGCCAACAGTAGCGCCAACCTCGCGTGGAGGATCGGCAAAGAGCGCGCCATATCCATTGTTTATAATCCAGACGGGCAGATCTGGGTGCGCATCCCCGAGCTTGTCTTCCAGCTTCTGGTTGAGCGGCCTGTATATCGACTGCCACAAGGCCTCGCCGCGAGAGCTTATCGACTTGATGTTGGATGGGTCAGGGTGACGAGTGGGTGTGGTGTTCAACGCAGAGGCAGTGGATGCGGGGAGCGAGGCGCGGAATGTGTTGAGCATGTTGATCGTTCGAGGAATCTGACAACCTGATCAGTCGATGTCTTCAGAATCGTGAGTCCACTACATACGCCATTGAACCCTATGCACTTTAGAGCCACTTCTCGCATGAATTCGGCTATCGCGACACTTTCGCCCTGCGATTTGGACTCGCTTGTGTATTTGTACAGCGCTGCCATCGAGTCTGGTGAGTTCATCGTCATCGTCGCGGCTGTGGAGAGGGCCAGCCATGATGGGCGGCCAAGGTTCCGTGCTGTGGCATCCTTTTCTATCCCTTTGTAGACAGCTTCAATGCGAGACGGGGCGGGAACTGGGCCAGGGCGCGAATGCGCGGCATTTATGAGGGACTTGAGAGTTGGCGACAGCTTCGACATGATGCGCGGTTATCTTAAGCACAATGCGCGGGGCGATACAGTTTTGAGACACGGTATCAGAGAGCAGAGCCAGCTCGCTGTCACGTCTTAGTAATTTGATAGGAATTAATAACGTACGACGTCGAAATGATGCCTGCAATTAAGCGGGCGCATACATTGATGGATGTTGCTCCGGGTACGCGTCCCGAGGCATGTTCGGAGCCAGCAAAATGGCCGAACATTCACGACATCGAGTAAGGTAGATTTCTTCTCTTCCCGGTGTTCACTCCCACCAACAATCTGGAAATAAATAATCGCATATGGATTGTCGAGTCAGATCAAGTGATGATAGAGTCGTTGGGAAATGGTGTGAAATGGTGGTTGTCTCTCGGTCAACTGCAAAAGCGGGAAGTAACATTCTTTGTGGCTCCTACAAGCCGCAAAACTACACAATTGCAATCTGTTAAAGTGCACGCAAGGCGTATACAGCTTAAAATACAGGCACAAGATTCCTACACTAAACTTAGTTGTAGATGTCAAGCTGTTGCATGATTTCGCTGCACCCTGGTTCCTGGTATTTCGATTGGTCGAGAGGCAGGGTCGAATCGGCGAGGCTGGCCTTTCATCTTGAGACCCTATGGCACCACCAACATGAGCACGCCGCATCGAAAGCTCTCTTCTATCTCCGCAACGCAAATTCAGAAGTCTTCTACGCAACGCCACCCGTTCATTACGGACCAAGCTTAAGCCAAGTTCATGCGCGACAAGATCCAAGTTCCATCTCGCAGTGTCGCAAGAGTTTCAGAACCTGATCTGGCTGGAGTTTTGACGTCTGAAGACTTCATCTCCACAAAACAGCGACGCGCAACGTCTGAACCCGCATGTCGAACTCATGTCATTGACGGAAAGATTTCTGACAGGCGCCAAAAAAGCTATGCATGGAAGCAAGCACGTTGTATTGTGCGTCAAGCCATGCCTTGGGGAGCCAGAAGACGGGCAACACATGTGTTTGAGGGTTGTAAGCGACGCCTCAGGTTAGGCAACCTAGTCAATCCAGATTTTGAACATCTTCGTGCGCTGGAAAACGCATGTATAAGAGGAGATGGTGAGGCGCTTGTTGATTTTCTCATCATCACGCAGAACATCTTCTATATTCAATCTTTACTCCTTTCTCCGGCTTGACGCTGTGATTCTATTCTCTACTACCATTCAATTCGCAGCCGGACTGTTTTCATCCTCAATCTTCTAACTTATAACGCAACTTCCAACCCACAATCTCTACCTACACCATCAATCATGCTTTTCCAGACCATCACCATCTTCTCCCTGGCGGCTCTCTCTGCTGCTTTGCCCCACACCAAGCGCGCCCTAAAGGCCCGCCAGAGCGGTCCGGTGCTCGCTGACACGACCTACGATGCCATCTCCATCTCCGGCGGCAAGGCCGGAAATGCTGAGCAAGAAGCCCTGGCTGCATTCTCCGGGCTCGATCTAACCGACATGGCCAACATCGACCCAGCAGACATCGCCTTCCTAGGCGCCGTCAACGACGTAGCCAACGACGCCGAGACAGAAGCATTCAACCCAGCGATCGAAGCCGCCACAGGAGCAGACGGCGACGCAATTTCTGTACGTACTCTCCCATTGTCTAACCAACGAACAACTTACTGACGTGATACCACAGGCTGGCAAGATCAAGAACAAGGTCCTCAAACTCATGGCGACTAAGCTTGAGCTTATGGCCAAGCAAGCTCAGGGTGAAGATGTGGCTGCGAAGCTGGCCACGGAGCTCAAGAAGCTCAACAATAATATTTCTATTGATAAGGCGAGTGCGGGAAGTGCGAGCACTGCGCTGCCGTTCACTGCTTCGATTTCTGGCGGGAGTAAGGCGAGCAGCAAGACCAAAAGCAAAGCCGCGGTGGTGAACACGGCAGCAGATGAGGACGAGGAGGACGCGGAGGACGACGCTGAGGAGGATGAGGATGAGGATTAGATGAGGATGCTATCACGGACGATGCGACTGATGATAGGGATGACGAGGACGCAGATGTCGACACCATTTAAGAAGGACAAGAACAGGAAGGACAAAGATAATTGTACGGCAGGACCGGAACGAGGCAGATATGAAATCTTTGATAATAGGCCAATGCAGGTAGTTTGAGCGACTTGAGATCTGTATTATACCCTACACATAAATCCCAGTTTTCCGAACATCGCTCGATGAACTTCCAGCCAAGTTCTCTTTGCTAGACCAAAGTATTTTTGTGGGATAATTTTGCTAATTGGATATATTTCCGTCCTTGCCAGCAGCCTTTATAGACAATGATAACTACAGACAGAGACCAAGTTGATACGAGGAAATGTCAACTACATCTCGATACGTTTCATCCATCGGCAGGCAATCCTTTGGTCGGATCTATATACACGTCCTTCTCTCCTAGAACACCTCCCAAAGACTGACCTTGCCATCTTTGGCCCCCGCAACAACCCAATGCTTCCGCTGCATCTGCTCCTCCCTCTGCCTCTGCAGCTTTCCCAGCCCAGTCTCCTTCCTGCACACTTCCTGTCCACCCCCCCTCACATCCCCATCCCCGAGCACTGCCCCGAAATCAACCGCATACACGCCCTCCTTATGCCACTTCAGCACTGCAACTTCCTTCAGCGTCTTGGCGCTGTAGATGCGAATCCGGCTGTCCCAGCCCCCTGTTACAAGGAGGCGACCATCGGAGCGCACGCGTAGGGATTGCTGGCCGGAGTGTTTCGTATCGCTGGTCTTGAAGGGTGGTTGGATGGTTGTGTTGGGGAGGATCGCGGGTGTGGGTTTCATTCTGGGGAGGGGTGGTGCGGAAGAGAGGAGCGAGGAGAGGCCGGCGGGTGGGGCTGCGCTGATCTTCGCGGATGAGATGGGTTGCTTGCCGAACTCGAGGGGGTTTGCTGGGGTGGTGGATAGCTCCGCTCCCGGTGGTGGGTCGTCTTGTGCACTGAGGTTTAGGGGATGTTTAGACGGCAGATTCTCCTGAGAAGGAAATGGTTCTGTCCCTGCTGATGTGCTTGCTTCTTCTCCAGGTGTTGGAAAGAAAGGAGCATTTCCATTCTGCTCATCGGTGGAGGAAAACCCCTTGTTTTCGACATCGGAAGTTAGCTCTGGGATTCGATGTGCGGCGATGGTGGCATCTGCGGATGATGTGAAGTAAAATCTGGCATCAGGCGATACATCCAGTGACAGGATGGGCTGGGTATGGGGTTTGCTTAGATAGACGAGTTGAGCCAACTCCAGGCCTGAGCTTTTGTTCTGGGGTAGTCGATGTATTGTCGTGAGGCCACCCTCGAAACCAGCTAGGACTAGGATGTTGTTCGAACCTGCATGATGTACGAGCCTAACAGCCATGGCCATCCCTGTTGTTGTTAGCAATCTGCTTATCAACCCCAGACTGTGCTCGAGTTATTGACTACTGGCACGGTAGTCAACGAGCTGAGGAGTGCAGCGATGAATACTCACCCGTATCTGTAGGCTGCACTCGTGGTACGACAAATCTCAGCTTCTCGTCTGGGAATCGGTAAACTTCCATCTTCTTGTCGTCTCTGGCGGGCACAGCCACAAGGATAGAATCATCGGATGTGAGGGGCAATACAGCGTCTGGAGTGATGCCGCTCAATCTGTTTGTCTCAGGTGGTCGCTCGAAGCACATGGAGAAAGCGCAGAAGTTTAGGGTATTGACGGGAAGTGTATGTAACAGCCATGGCTTCGACTGTTGGTCGGCCGCATTTTCTGCAGGCAGAACGGTGGGAAGTGCGGATTCGTCTGCAGGTCGCAGTTGCCATATTCTCAGGCTGTTATCACGACCGTGGCTGGAGATGGCATCGTCACGTTAGTAGTGCGAAACCGTGTGCAGGTGTGGGCTGATATGGAAAGAATAGGCGAGTAGTTGAGGTCAAGGTGATAGATTGGATCTCAATGCAGGATGTGGATAGATTGGGTGTGTAAAGGGTTCGACTTCGTCTTGAAGCCTTGAAACTCACGTTATAATCTTCTCGTTCCCCCATTCCGCAGTTCCTAGTATTGCTCCATCGTGGGCTTTCCAAACGGCTAGCGCACGTTTCGTTTCGACTTTCCAAAATACAACCCAGCCATCTGCATCGCCCGTCAGCAAGCGGGTGTTCTGGCGCACAAACTGGACATTGTGAATCTGGGAGGCATGGCCTCGAAGAATATAGCTAGGCTGGGCCGGTGGAAGGGCCGAAGACTGGCGCTCAACGGCCATGTGTGAGATGAGGTTGTTGAGTATGGCAAGCCGGCACGAGAGATCACCGGAACGGACCACGCCAGGCGCCTGTCAAACCACAATGCTGTGTCGTAGCGCAGACACTGCCCACTACACCGAGTTTCTGCTGTGCAAACTCCAGAGACGATGGATCGCCAGCGCTCAGCTAGAGTTCTATGTTTAGGAGCCGTGTCGGAGCTGACTGCCGCAATAGTCGAGCCTCGTCTTGGACGCTGATGGTGATCTGTACTGATGACGTCGAAAAAACATCGGCTTCGGTGTAATCTAGACGACAGAACACCACCGGCACTTTTGTGCCGCTAGTTCTCGCCTTCTTCAGGGTCAAATTGTGAGGCTGTTCTGAGTCAGCGCAGAACTTGCCGCGCGGAGGCTTTCCAGCATGTCAGCTTGTTTGCTTGTTTACGAGGATGAGATGAGACGAGATTGCACTGGAAGGATGCAGCCAGTCAGCAACCAGGATGGCACGACAGTCGCGATGCATAGGGGCTTGCTGGTCTGTACTACCCGCTGTCGGCTGCCTCATGCCTTTCAAAATAACGTCTTGCACTGCAACTGGCTCTCCAAGACCCGGATTCGATGCAGGAGAGAATCTGGGCGGCGCGGAAGCTCTCGTTGCCGCAACGGCGGAAACAAGCCGAGCCAGGACCATCAATAAAGTCTCTGCCAATACGAAGCCAACCCCCAGTTCGTGCTCGGCGGGATCAGACGGGCCATCGAATCGATTCTGCGATGGACGATGGACTAGTGCCTTCAGAATTCACCCTCGCTGCAGCTCGCAGCTCTCAACTTGTCTTCACCCTCGCCGTATCATATGCCCAAACCCACGTTGTATGTTCCCCAGCATGTTCTAATCTCGGCTCGGCCATCTAGCGCTGGTCAAGATCGCACGACTCTCAACGTCACTTGTCAAGGATCCACAGCGCGTCGCTAAGACTTGCCCCCCTCGCAAATCCCTCCAATCCTTCCATGCGAGGATCCTGGCTGGCTGAGAATCCCATCGCTCGTTCGTCATCACTGGTCCTATTTTGCTAGCCAGCAGGTAGAATCCAGGAATCCTGCTGTTTGCGACCCTTTTCCAATACCCCGCTTACTGTTGTTCTGGCCGTAGCCATACTTCATTGAGCAATAGGTTCCATAGTGCATGCGCTGCAGCAAAGTCGCATTTCCCTACTCGACGCAATTGCCGCCCGCCTCCGCCTACTTCTACATCCTTGGATAGCTTTGAACACTTGATAAGCTGGGTTAATCTGGCCAAGGCTTTTCAATCTGCTTGTTGTGCCCTCTTTTTCGACCATCACTATTCTTACTCCCACCACACGTCTAACCCGGCAATCCCTGACATACTTCGAGTCAACATCTCCCTCACGCCACCACGTCGTCCCAGTCGTCCTTGAATCAACCACCTGTGACAGCCTTGGGCGGGGTCTGCATCTTCCCATCGTGGCCGCATCGCACGCTAGGAAGCCCTACGAGTGGAGTTGGACCCAGTCAGCGAGGTCTGGCAACAGGGCTGCGCAACCGCAACAGCTGCTACGCGAGCCGAATGCGGTCGACCCGGCGAAAATATGGCAAACTCAGACACACCTCCGTCCAGGAACGCATCGCCTGCGGACAGGCCCATGCCTTCGAAGAAGAGAGACAGCGAAGCCATGTCAGACAGCAAGCCTAAACGGACGCGCACAGGGTGTCTGACGTGCAGAGAGAGGCATCTCAAGTGCGACGAGACCAAGCCAACCTGCAACAACTGCTCAAAGTCACAGCGCGACTGCAGCTGGGGCAAGAAGCTCAACTTCCTCGACACCACTTGCGAAAGAAATGCATACTTGATACCTCAAGGAACCAATTACTGCATTGCCTTCCAGGACGAATCGCGCATCATTGCCGGCGAGTACGTGGGAGGACGAGAGATGTACCCGGTGGAAGAAGCGGACATACCCATGCCAATGGGCAACAACAACTTTGACATGGGCCCACCAGACAGTCTGGTTCTTCCCTCGACAACAAGACAGCCTCTTCCGCCAATACAGGGCATGGCTCAGGAGTCATATCAGCAGGCGCAGCATGCTTACAACTTCGATCACCAGCGAGCGCCGTCTCAGCAGCACGCGCGTTCCCGTAAGTCAGATTTGAGGTTGCATAGCATGCGCATGTTAGGCCACTACACGTGTGCGGCTGTGTTGATGCCTTCACGTGTTATTCTCGTACATGCACGCTGAGGCGTTGTTCGTTTGCTGACTGTATCAGAATCGAACTTCTCGAACCCAACCCCGTCTCCGTACTCTATACATTCCGTCAGCCCGGCACCTGCCTTGACGCGCGACTACCTCAAGAGCCAAGAGGAGGTGCTTTACATGCAAGTGTTCGTGGAAGAAATAGGCATATGGATGGACAGTATGGACGCGCAGAAACACTTTTCTCGACTGCTTCCATTCCATGCGCTGCATGAACCCATGCTTCTCAATGCCTTCTTGGCTTGTGGCGCACGACATCTAGCTCTCGTAAATCCAAAATACAGCGAGGAGAAGGCGCTGCACTACTACGATATCGCGACACGAGACCTACTACACTCCTTGCAGGATCCAGACCGGGACACAATCCTATGCGCGACCACCGCGGTCATCCTGAATGTATACGAGATAATGGGCGAGCGGGCTTTGCAGCGGATGAATCACATTGCTGGTGCTCGCGCCCTCATCAAAGAGTGTCGCTGGAACGCGAAGGCGACTGGGATTGGGGCAGCATGCTTCTGGCTTAATGTCGGCATGGAGCTCCTCAGCTGTTTACACTTCAATTGGCAAGTCGCTTGGGATCCAGAGGATTGGTGCATCGATATGGACCTAACACCCGAAACCGAGTCTGGGAAGGAAGAAGTTTGGACACACCGGATCTTATACGTTGTCGCTAAGATTTGCAACTTTCGCGCTTCGATCCCTCGGAATCAGGAAGTCGCACGACAAACACTACACGATCGACACACCGAGTGGCTCCGTCTGAAGGAGATGGTGGAGCGATGGAATGAGAACATCCCTCGGACGATGCATCCAATGGCTTATCTCTATCCTGGCCAAACCATATCCGGATCCGCTTTCCCAGAAGTATGGCTCATCAAGAGAGCCTCCGTAATAGCAAGGCTTTTCTACCACACGTCTCTCGTCCTGCTCGCGCAGATCAACCCCATCCAAGGATCCAACGAACCAGAAATGTGGGCCATGCTCGAGCAAAACTCAAAATTCATCTGCGGCATCAGTGCTCACGTCAAGGACCGCGGCGTAGCAAGCGTCGCCCTTCGCTCCCTCGCCATCGCAGCAGAATGCCTCACAGACCGTCGAGAACAAGAAGAAGTCCTCCAGATCTTCGACAAGATCCGACAGGAAACAGGGTGGCGCGTGGGTTTCGTCAATACCGAGTTGCGACAGAAATGGGGTTGGGATACGCCGCAAGCACAAGAGCAACAGTTGATACAAAACGGGAACGTGCAGAACGGGAGTGCAGCCTACCAGCAGCAGCAAGTGCAACAACAGCAACAGGCTCAGCAACAAGCAGCACAACAGGCACAACAGCAGCAGCAACAACAGCAGCAGCAGCAACAGCAGCAACAGCAGCAACAACAGCAAGCGCGACAGCAAGCGCAACAACAAGCCCAGCAACAGGCTCAACAACAGGCTCAACAGCAAGCCCAACAGCAAGCCCAACAAGCCCAGCTCGCCGTCCAACAACTCCCCCCAACACAACCCCCTCCAGCCCGCACAAGACCCGGCTTCGGAAACCCGCTCCTAGTCGCAGATTTCAACATGCCGCAACACCCCTACCAGTCACACTACGTCCCCGCAAACATCATCCAGCAACAGCAGCAGCAACCCGCGCTCCTCCAAACCGCCCTCACAGAGTACAACGGGCAGCATTTCTACTAGGTGGGATGTTGGTGTCTGTCTGTATATGTATATGTATACGTATTTTTGCGTTTGTTCGGGCGTGTGGTTTCTTGCATAGCTTGACGCGCGAGTTTGTTTTCTTGTTTTGCGCTTCTAGCCTTATCTTGTCTTGTTTGTTTTGTTTGTCAATGTGGGCGGCGAGGCGCGTGGGGAAAATAAAAGGTTCCGCGCACCTTTTGGTTCATCTTCTTTTTCTTTTTTCTACTTTACCTTTCTTTTTCGCCTTTTTTGGCTTCGGGGTGCGTCGACTCCAGTACATATCAAGCGTTGACGATGTAACGAGTAGCGAAACGGCACGGCGCGGCGCGGGGGTTTGCTTTGTTTTTCTTTTCCCCAAAATATATGGGACGTTTATGGGCGATGGGTGGGTGGGTTGATATATCCGAGGATGGGATGTGGGATGCTGGACGTCGCATGTTGGGCGATACACATGTACATACATACATACATATATACCCGTGTGTAAGTTAGTTGGCCTAGCCAGGAACAGGGCAAGGTCTGAGGAGAAGATGGGGAGATGAGGAGGAATAAATACATGGATAGGATGTGACATGTACATTTCCGCCACTGTGTATATGTATATGTGTATATGCATGTGTATGTGTATGAATGTGCTATATTACGATGCGATATAAAATGCTAACGATAGATACGTCTACCAGCTCGTTTCTACAGAACTACAACAACAACAGGCCATGTACAGGAGTAACGTATAAACAGAATGATGCGAATAATGAGCAATAAACAACGAACGAAAACAGACAAATAGATGGATGCACTATCCAACCAAACAGAACCGAATCCAAACCGAACCAACCGGTAAACTCCTAAACGCAAGAACAAAAATACCCATATCCAAATTCGATTCAGAGCCGTGGGAGTCGTAGCGTCGTGTCTTCGTGCAATGCAATGCAGTGGAGTGGGGGGAGTGGAGAGCCGTGGAGACCAAACCAGATGGGACGGGGACTAGACGGGACAGAACAGGCGAATCCTCGCGCAATGCAAATGCGATGCGAACTCATGCAAAACCAAACGAAACGAAACGAAACGAAACGAAACGATGCTAGGAAGAATACAATGCAACGCAACCAAGCGCGAAAAAACCGAAACCCGAAGAGTAGAAATACTCCAAGAAGCGATGCCAACGTATGTACTTCCCAAGCCTTCTAAAAATCCACACTCCACCGAAACTTTGGATCTCTCGCCGCGGCGCCCAGACTGTCAAACGGGACGCGAACCGGCTCCTCGTCCGCCAATTCTGGCGTCCCCCAGGCGCGCGACACGCCGAAGCCAGTGTTCGCCCAGCTGTGTTTTTTGGCCAGCGGGACATCTCTGTCGCTATCAGATGGGACGAGGGATTGCAGCGCGTTGAGGGGGGAGATATCGGTGGAAGTGAGGGAGGCGCGGGGTTTCATGGTGTAGGGGTGCGATGAGGCGGGGGAGGAGGTTGTGGAGTATCGTGTATGGGGGTTATGAACGGGGCTTGGTTTCTCAGGGAGGGCGTTTTGGTCGTTTGATGAAGGGGGGAGGGGGAGGAGGGTGCGTGTGCGGGATGGGGAGCGGTCTGTGGCGCTGGATTGGACGGTGGAGAGGAGCTGGCGGCTTTGGCGGACGCGGATTACTTTGATGTCGGGGATGGGGGCGGTGCGGGTTCGGCGTATGAGGGCGTCGGTTGGGTCGCGGGGGGAGTGGTGTGTGGTCATTGTGTCGGTTCGGACCATGGGTGTGTCGCGGGGTTTGAAGTGCGAGCTGCTGGAGGAAGGGGGCCGGGCTTGGGGCGTCCTGCATCTGTCGTGGCGTTGGCCGGCGAGCAGGTTGGTGTAGGAGCCCTGGGGGGATATCGAGGGGAGGTCTTGGATCTGTCCGCGGTCCAACGTTTGCCGAGTCCTCCTTGTGCTCACTCGGCGCTGCACACTGCGTTCCCGCTGCAGACCCAGCTCGACGCGACTGCTCGCCCCACTACCGCTGCGGCTCCTGTTCCTCGCACGCTCCTTGCCGGCCATGACACTAGCTTTGGGTGGCGGCTGGAGCATCCACCGGTTGTCGGCGGGGTCTGGGGAGGGCATGCTAACAATGGGTGGGTGGAGATCGTTGACAGGGGGCGCACGTGCCGAGTAGTAGCTCCCCGAGGCGGATGTGCCGGGCCTCCTCATGCTCAGCGTCGTCGACGAGCCCGACGTGGTGTGGTGGATGGGCAGAGGCGCTTCGTCGAGGCCCCACAGATCTTCGTCCTCGCGCTGGTACCGCTTGCGGTTCCAGTTCTCGTCCTCGAGCGTGTCGTCGCTGAGGCGCATGTCGTCGGCGCCGTGGACGTCGATGGTGCTCCCGCCGACGGTGCTCTGTGTCCCCGCCTTGGTGATGCCCATGCCCATCCCCCGCGTGCTGCCCGTGTTCGCGCGGCGTGCCCTCCTCGGCGGCGGTCCGGGGCCCAGGGCCATCTCCTCGCTCCAGTAGGGATTGGTGCCCGTGGGCTCGGGGTGGTGGTAGGCCTCCGGGTCCTCGAGCATGAGCTTCTCGCGCGCCTTCCGCTGCAGCTTGGCCTCCCTGCGCCGGCGCTTCGAGTCCTTGTAGCCGGCACACGGGGCGCACGAGGCGTAGTGGAAGACGGCGCTCTGCACGCCTCTCATGAACCAGGCCATGGCTGGGCGCAGTCACGTACACGGCGTCGAGCGGCGGTGGTGGTGTGGATGTATGCTGACAGCCGGGCGGTTGGTGTGCGGGATTTGTTGCGATGGTCGTCGGCGGCAGGCAGCGTGGTGTTGGGGCAGGTCCAGGGCGCAATGGGGCTCGCTCGACGTCGCAGCGTAGAGAGTCATTGCTTCACAGAGGCACGGAAAGGGTCAACGGCGGTGGGCGGGTGTTTCGAGGGAAGTGGACACCCACGGACCTCCCAGGCCGGATGAGGTTGAGCGGAATGCGGTGATGACGATAGAAGAAGGCACACGAGCCACGGGCCTGGGTGGAGACGGTAGTCGGACTGGCGGCGTCTGGACTCTCCAACCCCCTCCTGGTCACCGGAACATTGCTGGCACGACCAGACAATCCTCCGACCCAGATACCCAACATGAGCTGATCGTCCACCAGCCCTCTCTGCCAACGGCTCCCACAACCGCACCCCGACGCCGACGCCAACTGGAAATAGCCATGTTTGGAGCGATCAGCCGGAAACGCTGTGGAAACGGCCTCCCAAGCTCCCTAGCGTCCCGCAGTCCAGACGTGCGCGGTATCAACCCAGACGCCGCTCAGTCCCAACACCCAACGCCCGACAACACCTCACCACCACCTCACCGCAGGAGACGGCCGATAACGTGACCATGTTCTCATCCCAGCCATATTAGCGAATGCAACCGCGGCATGTACCTACTCCTTGCCGCGCATGCATGTGTTGGCGAGAAAATATGCGGGGCGAGGCTGCGCAACCCAGCAAGTCAAGGCTGGGGAAACAGAAAGGAAAACAGGAGTCGCTTACCTCGTTTAATGAGAGAGTCCATGCTTGTTAAACTAGCCGTGACAACTGTTTCTGTTTCGCCAACCCCAAGTGGCACGTCGTGTTTGTTTCCAATTAGAGCGGGCGAGTAGACGTGCATGCACATCTCCATACACATACGCGTCGGTCCGACTCGCGTACCGAAAGAGCGCGTTTTGTACCATTTCAGCTCACACATTTTCAGCCCAGACGTCTGAATTGGGGAACGCGAGATCTGGTCGATCGGACTAGCAACCAAACTGGGACAAGGGACTTTTGCACACAATAAACAAACAATCAATCAACCATTGGAACTCGAGAATGAAGTCCATATTACAAATAGATTGAATCAATTGCGGACATTCGCAAACACGTGTTATGCTGTGTTGCTACCCAAACGCGCGCGCCTTACAATGCTCAAACCCCACCGCATACTCTTACACCACCACCACAAACACTCCACCTCAAACCCGCTCCTGCACATTCAGATCCCAAATCCTCAGTGTCTCGCCCTTGCTACCCCGCTTCTTGCTTGCTCCCTTCTTCCCCTCATGCTCACTCAGCTTCAGCATCGACCTGCTGACCAGCGCCAGCGTATCCACAAGCTCGCTCATCCTGCCCGTCTGCAGGAACAGCGCCTGCAGCCATTGATTGTCTTCGTCTGCAACCAGCGTCGCGATCTCCATGGCTTTGACGGCTGAATCGCGGTGGATGAAGTACGACGCTGTTTGGAGGATGGAGAGATATGCTAGGACGATCTCGGGGATGTAGGCGCGCTTGAGGTCAGCCATATCCACCGTGTCTCCAAGACCCGAGTTTTGGTCTTCTGCGAGGGAGGTCATGAGGGCGTTGAAGAGGGCTTGGATGGTGTCGAGGAGCTCTTTTATGCGTTTGGTGTTTGGCTTGGGGCCTTGAGCTTCGCGGCGGAGTCTAGACAGTGTTAGTCGTTGACAGCTGAATGAAGACGGAGTGAAGAGAAAGATATCCGACTTACTTCATGAGCTTGTCCTCCTCGTTGCGCCACTCGCGGAACATTGCCAGCAGGCGAACAATCTGCTGCAAGTCGTAGTATTGCGAACTCTTCTCGCGCAAGCGCATGACAATGTACCTGTGTCGGTCCTCATTGGGCATCTTGTCCACCGAGGCAATGTGGGCTCGTGCGACGGTTGAGAGGGAGTCGCGGAACCCACGCATCAGCAACTCGTCCTGTTCCTCGGCTCCGGCTTGGGTGAAGTCGAACGGATAGCCGCACAAGGCTTCCGTCCTGGACAGAGAGAGAGACTCGACGCTCAGCTCATTGACAACCTTCTCGGCAGCAGCGAGGCGGCCATTGACTGTGTGAACAAGGTTAGTGTGTTTCATGTGCTGCGATTCTCAAAATACTTACGCAGGAAGATCATGAGCGCGTTCTTTAGACTCTCGAAAGTCTGCTCAAACTCATGTTCGACGTAGTTGTACCAAAGTAGAGCTTCAATAATTGCTTCCTCTTTGGACTCAATGGTAGACCCATCAAACTGCTCTTTAATTCGAAGACCAGGCCACAAGTACTGTTCCTGGGCAGTACTATCCAGAATGCTGAACTGCTTGATAGAGTTGTTGATTACAATGGCACCGTTGTAGTGGGTGTATCCGCAGTTTTCGAAAGCAGCCATGAAGTTCCCAGCAACGACTTCAACAGGGTTGACCTCGTACTGTTTCAGGAGAGCTACACAACGCCGTTGCTCCTCGTTATTCTTGATATCCGGGAGGACGCGCGCAAGACAGTGATATGCTCGTTCAGCCTGTAGTTGCGCCGCGTACAAGGGGATCAGCTGCATGCGTTTGGTGATGCGGAGAAACTCAATGTACGCAACAACGACGTTTTCCATAGCCGCCAAATGTGGGGTAGTGTTTGCGCTGAGAGTGAATAACCCATGCTGCAGGGCAATGCAGATGTGCACAAGGATGCGGAAGGCATGTGGGTCACATGCAAGAGTCTGATACCAACGCTCCGCTACGATAGTACGGTGCTCGCCCTCAGGCTTCGGCCCTGGGTTGGTTGCCGAAGAATCAGGATGAACCATCAAGTTGCTAGGTCGGTCATCTTCTTGCAACATATCAGCAAGAGCAGCTCCGACCTTGAAAACAAGATCGTCCACATTCCTGCTAATGAGAGCGCTCTGGATCAGCTTGATTGGGGAGACCGATTGGCTGGCGGTGGCTTTCTGTTGCTTTAGCAGGTCGACGACTTTTCGCGATGCATCCTCCCAGTCTCCAATATTTGCGACGGCGTCCTGGAATGCGAACTTCTGCGACAGACTCTGAGTGACGCGGTGTGGGTGCTTCTGCTGTAGATACGTATCGAATCGGGAAAGCAGAAGGGCATTGTAGTGTGCGTAGAGGTGATCGTCCCAGGATCGACAAACCGCCTGCACCTGCTTCAGATCTCCACTAAGCAACCCATAGACGGCTCCTTCGTAGGGTATCCGGGCTCCTCTGGCAGCGTAGAAGCACATGCGGCGGAACAGAAAACCAACCGTCGGCCCAGCTACGTTTGGGCCTTTCTTTGGATGTGCCTCGTACGCAGCGCCCACACTGACCCCGCGCCAGGCCTCGTTCCTCTCCTCACACCAGTCGCTAATCTGCTTCCAGGGAACGCCGCGGCGCATCATCTCATAACAGACCATCCAGAGCGCGCGCTCATAGAACTCGTCGGACTTCTCGAGAACGCGTTTCTGCCTCGCCGGGCCGTCGGGGTCCAGCTGGGTGGCAAGGCTTTGTGTCCTGTCCGTGGTCTTGAGGTTGGCAGTATCCGCTTTCAGAGGCTGATCTGTACCCTCCATCCGCTTCGCCTGCTTGATCTTCGACTTGGTGTCCAGCCAGCCGCTCGTCCAGGTGTGCGCGCCTTTTCCGGACTGCGCCTCCAGCTCCGAGGTGATGGATTCGATGTCGCCCTCGCCGTTTTGTGCTGTCTGCTCCAACCATCGAAGAATGATTTCCTTCTCCTTCGCGCAGTCGTCCTCCAACAAGAACCGGTCCCAGATCTCGCTATTTGGACCGTACCGCGCGGTGCCTCCGACATTCGCCAAACGCGTCTGCTTTTCCGCGGCCACGTCGGTCTCGGGCTCAGGATGGTGGTGGTCGATGATGATTCGGAGCAGCTCCCACGTCGCAAGCTCTGCCTGCCATTGTCGCAGCTCTTGCACGTTTGCGGTAGGCTCGGTCATTGGAGGAGCAAAGACGCTTTGGACCTCAGGGACATCCGCCATGGTCTGTATCCGGCGCCTGACACTCTTCTTGAGCTCTCCCTTGTTCTCCGCGTCACTCGCCCGTTTCAGGTCCCTGACTTGCGATTCGGCAACATCTCTGAACTTTCCCACCATCTTGACCGTCGTTTGGTACTTGGCACGCGCACTGTCGTTGCCGTGGGTGTGCCAGTGGTCGACTCTCTCCGCGAACTTCTCGACTTCTTTTCCCACGCGGTCGGCCATGGCGCGTAGAGGTTGAAGGGGGTCATTTGGCGGGAGACCGCTAATACTGCGCGAGGATCCGATCGGCTGCGACGGGCGCGCGAACGAAAATGAAGCCATGCTGTGTGGTTGAGGTTGCTGTCACCGAGTTCACCGCGAACAAAACAACGCGCAGCTTCGAAGCAAGTGGGTCCGAGCTTCAAGCTAACTCCCTCTCAGTTAGTAAGAATACTCGCAGCGAGATCTTGTAACAGCTGGACAACTACATGCAAAGTTTGAGTGAGAGATATGCGCCCCAAGTGATATATGTGCACCTCAAGTGATGCATCTACCAGCTTTCTCAACTTGTAGTTTAGTTGTGTTGTCTTGCACATACAGACATAGCTACTTCGAAATACGGCGATCAAACTAGGCCTAATCCACGGTGATAGGTCAAATCAAGAGCCACAGACGTGAGGACCCGAGCTTTCGCTTAGTCATAAATCCCGAAATTGAAATGCATTCCTCTAAGCACAATAAAGTGACCAACCCAAGATAAATTATCAAAAAGAGCTTAGGCGAGCAGACGCATACCGGCGGTTTTCAAGCCACAGATTCTTAACACATATTATGTCGGTAGTTGTCCAACTGTCGCAAGATTTCAATGCTGCAATTCCAACTTTCATGCTTAACCGAAGCACGAGCCAAATAGACCCATGAACTTGAACAGATGACTAAGCGCAAATTTTCTAGCTATATAAACCAGTATCCCCTCTGTACCTCCTCCATTAAACACAATGTAATCATGGTGTCGTCATAACTAGAAGTCCCGAAGTAAATATTCAGTGTTTACGTCGTGCTCACGACTGCCAAAGAACAACTACACTTCCTGGTGACCTGGCTGTACTTCCTAGTGGAGAATGACAGTGCGGATGAGAAAGGAAGTGTGACATCTCTTAAAGTAAGCCTATTTTTGGCATATTGCAAGTTCCTATTTTCCATGATGACTTTAGCGACTTTTCAGCTGTAAATGAGCATGGAAAATAGGTACAATCAGCAGAGTCTGTGTTTGTTAATACATGTCGCAACATTGTGATGTTACATCTCTACGTTTGGGCTTGGCCAAGTGTAAAAGCTGGACCTAAGCCGTCGCAAATTTTCACATCGTAACAACTACATGCACTATTCACGAGAAGGTTGTATACCTTGATCATCGTCGGTATATGCCTTACCCGCTTTTTTGAAGTATTAGTTGTGTCTCAACGTCACCTTATTAAGCACCTAATTACTGTAGCTCTGAACTAAAGTTCACTATAATCATGGCAGTACTTCAGCTTTTATAAGTCTATGTTCCTTCGATTGCTTCCTCTATATTCAATATGTTACCAGGAATAATCATCATCGACTGCCAGCCATCGCTATAAAGGTGTTGGCTAACACCCACTACCTGTTTAGGTAGTTCCGACATAAGCAAAAGAGTGCCACGTCGAGAACAGAAACACTTCAGACGGGAACACCAAAGAATGAACGTTGTGTCGTATCGTGTTACTATAAAACTAAATGAGCCGCAGCCTGAGCTGTATGACCTTCATGTCCTAAACAGTAACGTGCTCATCCCCACTAGCCATGTCGACCAGAGTTGCCTCGTAGCAGCGCTGTCCCACATCACAGTATGCCAAATCCCATGCACATCAGCATACATTGTAGTAGCTTTGATAAGGCATAATGCACACCATACTATAGAGAGTGAGAATGGTTGGTTTAGACCTACACACCATCGGAAGAGCTGAAGGAGGTTGATTGTCTGGCATCTGAGCTGCACGTCATCCATGGTAGGAAAAGCAGCCTCTTCCTTTCGGAGAATCCGACCTATTCCAGTGATGTCCAGTTTGTCGCCACCCCAGTGAATGAGAATGGCTTCGTCTTCCATAAACCCAATATCCTTAAAAGCTTTCTGGTGCTGAGATGGTGTCATACCATGCGTGTTATTGCCGTTGTATGAGTTCTTTAGTCGATTCTCCAGGCCTGCAGTGTTGGATACGCCTGATTTGAACACCATACCTTCTTTTTCTTGGATCTCGCTAACGATTGCTTGAATAGAGTCGTATCCTGGATATGCGATCATGCCTTCGTGGTAGATAGACGGGTTTTCACAGTTGATTATACCAATCTCCGAATGGAAGGCTGCGTTGGGTCCTCTTAGGCATATTCCTTCAAAGTCGCAGGCCCATATATGCTTGTCGTCCGTACCCCTGAGACGGCGGAGTATGTCCTTCACCAGCACGGCCTTCGTTGGATCTTCTGGTAACGAATACTTAATATTCCGTCCGAGGGGCGTCTCGAGGCAAGTGATGTTGAAAGCGGCTGATTGTGCGATTTGGACAAGCCTCAAGTTGTGCTCCGTGCAAAAGTTACTGCCTTGTGCTTTTGGTGAAGTGCATTCATAACAAAGTATGCAAGCCTGCTCCCCGTTGACGTACTCGTACTGCTTGAGTGGGATTTGTCGTACGTGTTGCGGGAGGTGAAGTGCAACGTGCTTCAAGTTGATTAGCTGAAAAGCTTCTGTGGGTTGCTGCACCCATGTGACGCTGCAGGACAGGTGGCGGATCTCCTCGACAAGTTTAAAGGCGTTTGTGAACCGAGCCAGCTCTTTGTGTCGTGAAGTCCATATCGTACTGGTCCGTATACCCAGGCCGAGTGAAGGAGATAGTACGCGGGTGGTGTGTTTGAGGCATGGGAGCAGGTACCACGACTCCGCGAACACACGTGGCGCAAAGGTATCGACATCCCAATAGGAAGCGTTAGTATGGTCATGGTTGGACTCACTTATCAGGCTTGAGAATGGTTGCAGTAGGACGGCGTCTGTAACTTGTAGCAAGGGAAGGCCGTCGAAGAATGTTTGGAGTTCGGGACCAAGTTCAGCATTTCGGTAGTCCCATTGAAAACGCGTTGGGTCATTGTTTGGCGAAGACCGAGACGTGAGCAGTGGTCGCGATCGCGTGCCGAGGATGTTGAGTGCTACTGGCAAAAGTGTGTGCGCGTTGTTGTCAAATTCTATCCACAGACAGAAATGCGGCGGCAGCGCTTGTTGCACAGACTGAAAATCGCTAATGGATGATGTGCTGTACAACTGGTTGAGGCAGACGGGCATGCATCGGATCACCTGGTAGTGGTTAGTTGCTGTCATATTCGGAGCAGTGTTGGACCTACACTTGGGTGTGACAACAGAATCTCTCGCGCTACTAATGCAACCCCTTCCTTTGTCGCATTGGCATAGTTCTTGATTTCCTTCCTCTTTGGTTCCCTGGTGTGTATAGTGGGGTTTGGAGGCTGACCGTTCAGGTGGAATTGGATTTTCATAAAACTTCCTCCTCCAGGCTCCACCACTAAGCCAGACAACTGCTTGGACATCTGGATGACACTTTCCTCTCTCACTCTCACCTCTTGCGTAGCCTTCCTCTTGTAGCTGTCTGCCTTCCGCCATCCAGCAAAAACCGTCTTCATGTCGGTTTCTGGAGATGATGCACATCGGTGGGCTGGCTTGCATGGATGTCTCTGGAGTGGGTCGCCACCAATCCTGTCGTACATTTCAGCAGTAGCATTCCCTAAGGTTTGAAAATAGTAAGGAAATCGGCTGGCTGAACTCTGGAATCGATATCCGATGAATGGGTTGCTGTCCTGCCATTTAGCTATAAGCTCCCATGTGATAGGGTTGTGCAACGTGTTCGGCCTTGATCGGAAAAGCTCCAACATCTCCCTAGGGATATTGTTGTCGAGATCCTGTATCATGGTATGCGGCTCTTCTTCTTCATCGTCATCATCCTCTGTCTCAGGTCCATGTGTTCCTCTTCTACCGTATCTGCTAGTCTGTTGTCCTCCTCTGCATCCTCGTCAACCTGCTTTCTCTTGGCCATAGTATACGTAGCAGTTGGTTGGATTGAGATTAATTGTGTATAGGAGTGACTAGGCGTGCGGTGAGACCAGATGCACGGAGGTGAGCGTGCGGAGGTATCAATTGGACGTTGCGGAGGTGAAGCCGGTCGTGGGGGGTACTAGCTGAAAGCTGTGGAGGTATCAATCGGAGGTTATGGAGGTGGAGCTGATCTTGCGGGGGGTACCAGCTGAAAGCTGCGGAGGTGAAGCTGATCGTGCGGGGATGGAGTTGGTTGTGTGGATGTGAGACTAGCTGCGCGGGCGTGACTGTACGAAGCTACATATGTGTCAGCTAGAATTTGTGTAGAGGCAAGGCTGGGCGTGCGGTGGTGACTGTTTGAAGTTGTAAAGACGAGGTTGAGTGTATGGAAGCGAGACTGAGCGTGGGGTGATATGACTGGGTGTGCGGAGGATGAGTGTGTAGTGGTGCATGTACAAAGCTGCGGCGGCGAGACTACGCGTACAGAGGTAAGGCGGCGTGTGGATGAAGAGTTTGTAGGAGCACGCACAAGTAAGTGGTATATCAAAAGACACAACAAATGAGATTGAACCTATCTAATGAGAGAACTACCTAATGCTCCTTCATATGCTCCAGCCAACGTCCGTAGTCGTGAAACAGGGTTAGACATGCCGTGCATTCGCCTACGTACATGTGGACTTGGCTTAGTCCACAACCTGAGTTGCTGCCCAGGCTAGACTTTGCGCTTGGGCACATCTCCAGAGCGTGACCAAGGACTCTTTGGTTACATCGCATAACCAGAACCCCGCATTCCTCACAGTTGAGGTACCGTGCCACAACGTTCTCTGACGGCTGTTCACGGAATCTCCAAACTTCGCCCAGGTTATCGTAGATCCCAACATCTTCCGTGAACTTCTTAGCTTCTTCCAACGTGAGCCATTGGTTAGCAAGGTATGCGCACTTGCTGTTCAGAAACATCCCAAGAGGACTCAGGTTGTTGAAGTTTAGTCCAGCCAGGGGGTAGAAGTTGGAGCTACTCTTGCTTGAATGTCCTCTTGAGGGTATACTACTCAGTATCGCTACTAAGCCTTGCAGCTCAATGCTTTTGTGTTCTTTGAATCGGACGAAGAAGGCACCCTCGGTGTCGTTGGGTGCTCGGTTAATCGAAATCTTGCAACAGCTTGACAAATACATATGAGATTAGTGTTACAATCTGAGACCTCAACTTCTCGCAGTATACGTCAAACGTGCACTTTTGTGAACTGTATTAGTGTGGTTTTACGGTTTGTAGGAGCCACAAACAATGCAACTTACTTCCCGCTTTTACGCGCGTTCGAGAGCCTGGGTGACTGTGAACCGCTGTGGCACGGTGTTTTCAGGTTTTGAGGAACTCAAGATTAATTAGGTCATTTGACCTTATAAGCCCCTTCAGGGCCATCCGCTTTTAAGACCTCGTCATCGCTCAGGCTGTTAGAAGTATGTTCGGTGGCCTGTTTGTGCTCCCGGTAAGTCGACGAGTATTCTGGGTGAGGCGAGCGTCGTGACTGAGCATAGTTTTCCTCCTGGGGGGCATGGTGGACAGGCAACGACAGGTAACGACGCTGCAGAAGAGACTGAGATGGTGAAATCTGCATCGAAGCCTCTATTTGTAAACAAAATTCCTCTTCTGTAGTACAGGTCTGTTGTTATTGCTATTATCGTCCTCTTTGGTGGACCATTCTGGTGTCGGTTCACCACTGGTAGTATGAAGGGTTGTAAATATTAGTAGGAAAGGTGCTGCTGGGCGTCGTCATAACGGAGGTCTCGGAAGTAACTCTGAGAACCAACATTGCAGAAACTGGTTGCTGGAAGCGACGGCAAGATAGGTTCCTCCTTCCCCGGTTGTTTACTTTTTCGGTCCGATGTTGCTTGATGTTACGTGCGTATCGTGGCTGTTACGTGCGTATCGTGGCGTTAAGGGCTTTTGCGCACAAAGTCCAACTGTTTGTAAGTCAAGCGGTATGCCCGCAGATAGTGTGCCTACAGTATTTTCGAGAGTGCAATTTTCCGTTCTGTCCGTTGATGGCGGACGGAGATAGGAAAGTGAGGATGTTGTTAAGACTGCAAGGTACACAAAAGTGGAGAATTACCACGAAAGCGGAATAGCGCTTACTTCTGAGTAACTCTTCTTACGTCTGCCAATCACCACTAATCCTTTTGAACCTTTACATTCACTCCTGGCGAGATGCTAATACCGGCCACTACTCAATTTTTTAAGATGGAAAGCGTACCGGCACGATTCAACAAAACGCTCGGGGCTATCGGATATAGTCCTTCCAAACCCCTTGACCCCACCTTTCCATGCACTTCCGGAGTCCCTTGGCAAGCGCCAGAGCATATGCACAATGGAAAGACCCGCAGACAACGTATGGTCTTGATACGTCATGATACGATGTGGCCGTGATGGAGATACTATAAGTATAGGGCCTACCTTGCCTTCTCAGTCGAACAATTACAATCACAATCTCGCAAACAGAACAACAAATCACCACTTCAACTTTTCTCTTCAATCAGAAAAAAATACTCAATATGCCTTCTCCATTCGGCGAAGTCCCGCAGCCCAAGTCTCTTCTTGACTTCCAGCGCGTCCTCTCGCCGACGGCGGCCGTCCGCGTCTCGCCATTATGTCTTGGAGCCATGAACTTTGGCGATGCGTGGGAGAGTATGATGGGATCTTGTGACAAGAAGACAGTGTTTGAGATTTTGGACTACTTCTACGAGCAGGGTGGAAACTTCATCGATACGTGAGTCTCTCCTCCCCTGTCATGTTTCCTAAACAACAGCGTCTATCATTGCTGAACACTATGGTTTGGATCATGCTAACGAGCAATAAACAGTGCCAACAACTACCAAAACGAAGAAAGCGAGAAATGGGTGGGAGATTGGATGGCTGATCGAAAGGTTCGCGATCAAATTGTCCTTGCGACGAAATTCACCACGTTCTACCCGGATCCAACCAACAATCCCCCCCGTCAACGTATCAACTTTGCGGGAAACAGCACAAAGTCGTTGAAAGCCTCGCTCGAGGCGTCGCTCAAGAAGCTGCAGACGGACTACATAGACTTGCTCTACGTGCACTGGTGGGACAACACCACCAGCATTCCGGAGTTGATGCAAAGTTTGAACCACATGGTGGCGAGCGGAAAGGTGCTGTACCTGGGAATCAGTGATACCCCGGCCTGGATTGTCAGCAAGGCAAACGAATGTAAGTCTTCTCCCTTGATACCTCGCAAGCCAAGCGATCATTGACAGTGATACAGACGCTCGCAACCACGGCCTCCGTCCCTTCAGCGTGTACCAGGGCCGCTGGTCCGCCGCCGACCGTGACTTCGAGCGCGATATCATCCACATGGCACGCGACGAAGGCATGGCTTTGTGCCCCTGGGGCGCTCTCGGTGGAGGAGATTTCAAGAGCGAGGAGCAGCGCAAGAGCGCCGAGAAGGGCCGCGACTTTGGCGAGGTTTCCGAAAAAGCAATCAAAGTCTCCAGGAAACTCGAAGCCGTTGCAAAAGCAAAGAACACGCAGATCACCAGTATTGCGCTGGCGTATGTCAGGAGCAAGTACCCGCATGTGTACCCTATTGTCGGCGGCAGGAAGATTGAGCACTTGAAGGGAAACATCGAGGCGTTGGCATTGGAGTTGAGCCAGGAAGAGGTGGATGATATCGAATCGGCAGTCGAGTTTGACATCGGCTTCCCATTGAACTTGTTGTATGAGATGGGCGGGAGCAAGTACAAGACGACAAACACGAGCGAGGATATCTACTTGCTGGGCTTTGCGGGCAAGGTGGACTGTCTGCCGGTTCAGGGCGGGCCAAAGCCTCGTCAGTTGTGAGGGATGAGGGGTTGGCTTCGTATCTCATGCCGCACTTAGTTGTGGATTTGTATAGGAAATAGCTCTCACAAAACAATGATTAAACGTGATGAACTATCTTGTCAATGGCACGCTTGTTACCTTCACGTGTTTTCAGTTCCATGAGTCGTGACGTTTGTTGAGTTCAACTCTTAGGTTGTTAATATTGCCCGTTTTGCGTTCATCATGGCCAAGGCATGGTTTCGTTTATGAGCATTACACTTTCGTCAAAATCCAATCGCTACATATCCACATCCATAGAACACGTTCACTCCCATTGTGTACCTATTAGCCGCTGCATGAGGTACTCGACCTCAACTTCTTTTGTCAATGGAATGACCCAATCCTACATGACACATCAGCAAAACTATATCATGGCAGAACCACATATCAACATACCTTGTACATGGCGACTACAGCATCAGCGTTGACCTTGGACTGTCCGTCAGCCCCCGAATCCGGATCTGTCCCGTACGTCTTCGACTTTAATCTCAGTCTCTCCAGCACCTGTTTCTCGACGGCCGCATTGGTAATTGCTTCATCGATACCCTGTCTATCCTCCTTCTTGATCAAGCCCACGAACCGCTCGGTTTCCTGCTGGAACTTTGCCTCGGCGACAAACTTTCCAAAATGAATCCTGCGCGACAACGCCTGCAAACACAAAACATCGCACGACGCCGCCGAGCCATAGTTTTCCTGCGACTCGCCTCTATCCGCGCGTCCTGTATCCGGACACGCCGCGGGCATGATGTGTTCGATATAGCAGTCTTTGAGCTTCGCGTTGACGTTCACATCGTTGGGATGCAGGATCTTGGGATAGTGGATTGGTTTGAGAATGGGCTCTTGGAGGACGTCTGGGAAGAAGGGGTATTCGTCTGGGGACTGGTAGCGGCGCACACGAGATTGCAGACGCTCTTGCTCGCGCAGGATCCAGTCAAAGAGGCTGAGAGAGCTGTTGCCTATGTCGACGCCGCCGGGGATGTAGATGTTTTTGTTGAGGGGGAACTGCACGCGCTCGATTAGGTGGAAGGTGATGGTGTCTTCGAGGCGTCTGCTTGGGTGTCAGGCTGGTTTAGGGGGAGAGAGTGGGCGTGGTACATGAGCTGGAAGCGGATGTTGGAGAGATCGAGAGCCTTGGAGGCGTCTGAAAGGTCAATCGCAGCATCCATTGTGTGTTAGATGGGCGAATTTTGGGTATAAAGAAAAGCAAAGGTGAAGCTGGGGGGGAAGAGTCAACGCAGCCATCGTGTTTAGCTTTGGGGCTTGCTGTACTAATGCTACGATGTGCAAAGGCCCGAGGATCGGCGTTGAAGAATGACGCACAAGCTTACAAGAGCGGAGCGCAACCGACATGTCAATGTGCAAGTCTGAGCTTTGCACCACCGAACCCCAACATCTTGCGACACACGACAAAGCGCACCCCCACTGCTCGCTTGTCTATCACGGGACCATCTCGTCGTGCTGGAAGCAGAACCATGACATAAAAAACATCGCCACCCACTTCCCTCCACTTGCGCGCACACATCTACAGCTGCTCGCATGGCCCCGTCCACTGCCCGCCGCAATGGCTCACCAACACGCGGGAGGTCGACGAGCCCGCGACCCTTTCCCGACTCAGACGATGAAGAGGGCGGTATCATGGACAGCCTGCCTGATGTAATTTTCATCGCAAGCCCATCTACCGAGCCGTGACGCTGACGTCCGCCGCAGACCCGCCAACTGCAAGCCTTTGGCCGCAAAGTCACGGCGACTGCCGGGAGCCTGATTGGGACCGAGGGCGTTACTCAGCACTATCAGAACGCTCTGGGCGAGCTCTCCCGCGAACTTCGACGACCAGGCCTGCAGCGGTCCGTGTTCTCCTTCGCCCAGACCACGCCCCGCGAAATTGTGCGCTCGCGAATATCCATCCCCGAGATCCAGCAACGAGCACTCTCCTTCATTCCAGACGAGCTTCTGCACAACATTCCCGAGGAAAAGAATTCCTTTTCGTTGTTTCAGGGCTTCCAGGCCTCGCTGCCTGAGGAACCCAGTACGCACAAGAAGCATGGAAAGCACAATTCGAGGGGGCAAAAGCTGATAGGGAAGGGTGATGAGGAGGATGACTCTAACATGCCGCCATCGATGAAGAAGCTGAAAACCCAGAAGCATAGCATGGACCACCGCCTGGAGATGATGGGCGTGCGGAAACACATGTGTGTGGCTGAGATACATGAAATCGACAACAAGATTGCCAATTTGAACACGCTGCGCAAGATGGTCTTGGATCGCTTGGCAGGGCTGGAAATTGAAGAGGCGGAGCTTGAGCAGGATCTGTTGGAGGTGGACAACAAAATCGAAGACCTGCAGGAAGAGCTGGAAGACGAAGCGGCGTTGGCGCCTAAGTCGGTAGATTCGCCTACGGATGCGGAGCGGGAAGAGGGCAGAGACGATTTTATGTCCGAGTCCATCTACCAAAAGTTGCCCTCGCCAAAGACGAAGAAGAACAAGAGACCGTCACGACGTATATCCATGCCCATTCTTCACGAACATCTAGAATCAGGATCCAAAATTAGAGAGCTACCTGCGCACAACGACGCCATCACAGCCTTGGATTTTGACGCGCCGTGGGGTACATTGGTTACTGCAGCATTGGACGACACTGTAAGAGTATGGGACTTGAATGCCGGGCGCTGCATAGGTATGCTTGAGGGTCATCTGTCCTCCGTACGCTGTTTGCAAGTGGAGGACAACATTGTGGCGACCGGGTCGGTGGATGCCTCGATTCGTCTGTGGGATTTGAGCAAGGCCGAGTACGCACCTACGGATAACCGGATAAACAAGATTGACGAAGAAGACGAGGATGACGATGGTCTGGCTTTTGAGAACTCGGCAGATGCACCACCTGCGCCGCCACCGACCATCATGCAAGATTGCCCAATGTTCTCCCTCGAGTCGCACGTCGATGAAGTTACGGCGCTACACTTCCGAGGCGACACACTGGTTTCTGGTTCTGCGGACAAGACATTAAGGCAATGGGACTTGGTCAAAGGGCGATGCGTGCAGACTCTAGACGTTATGTGGGCTGCAGCACAGGCATCTGCTACAACGTCAAATAGCGGCCAATGGAGGCAGACTGGACGTGCCATGGACGTTTCTGCCGACTTTGTAGGAGCTATCCAAGTGTTCGATGCTGCGCTTGCATGCGGAACCGCAGATGGAATGGTACGACTCTGGGATCTGCGAAGCGGGCAGGTGCATCGCAGTTTGGTCGGACACACAGGTCCTGTCACCGCTCTGCAGTTTGATGATGTGCATCTTGTGACTGGCAGTGCGGACAGGAGTATACGGGTAAGTCGCTTCTATCTATTACTATTGCCTCTCATTCGCTAATGCAAGTAGATTTGGGATCTCCGCACAGGTTCCATCCACGACGCCTATGCCTACGATCATCCCATTACCAGCATGATGTTCGACGCTCGCCGCATCGTGTCAGCGGCAGGCGAGGATGTAGTCAAGGTATACGATAAAACAGATAGCCGACACTGGAGTTGTGGGCCTGGTGCAGACGAAGAAGCAAGCTCAGGACACTCCATCATTGAGCACGTACGCATCAAAGACGGCTACTTGGTTGAGGGTCGTAGGGACGGCACTGTAGGTGTTTGGTCGTGTTGAGGTGGTCGAGTTTGTACATATTGTATGCATGAATCTTGGACATGACATGTATTTGACGCTTGTATGCATATGGCGACTGTCAAAGCTTGATTGTGTGGATCGCTGCGTAGCTCCGATCTGTAGTGACGTACAGTTGAAGCACGCACGGCACGCAGGGAAACATTTCTCAGCTGCCTTTCTTCATTCCTCTGCTGAGCCTCTTTGTATCAAGTACCCATGATATAACTCATTTACGACTGCCATTGTTCGATCAATTGGCCTCTTTTCTTTAGACACCTACCTCGTAGCCACAGCATCGAGCTCTCGTGATGCTCCCACGACAAGCCGCATCGCTATCGCGCGCCTACAACACCACTTCCAGAGCTTCTCTGCTATGTAGGACGCTGCCCCGAACCTCGAACCTCCAAACGCGCGCATTCCTCGGCAGCCATGCAGGCCTCACAACTGCTGCGAAACGCGCCCGCCCCAGCGCTCAGCTGGCGAGCTCAGCTGCCCTGCAAACGCCCCACCTGAACCGATGCGGCTCAACAATACGATTTGCATCGACCAAGCCGGCGCCCGCTCGCGGTTCACGGCTGATACGGCTTGCATACAGGACGTCGGCTGCTCTGGGCATTTTTGTCGCCATTGGTGGTACTCTGGTCATCGCCTTCTTCATCTATGATGCATCCACGTACGACGAGGGGCCAGTCGCGACAAGTCTCTCCGTATCAGAGCTGGCACTGAACCCCAAGAAAGGCGGACCAAAGAACCTGCCCATCGCTGAGCACTTTGTCGACGATGATGATTGTCCAGAGAACAGGGCGGTAAAGCACAAGCCAAAGCTGGTCATTTTGGGCACAGGCTGGGGGAGCGTAGCCCTATTGAAGCAGTTGAACCCTGATGAATACCACGTCACGGTCATCTCGCCCTCAAATAATTTCTTGTTCACGCCTATGCTGCCGTCTGCCACCGTTGGCACACTCGAGTTGCGGTCGCTTGTGGAACCCGTCAGGAGGATCGTGCGGAGGGTGCGTGGGCACTTCCTCAAGGCCAAAGCTGAGAATGTTGAGTTCTCGGAGAAACTTATCGAGTGTTCGGCCTTGGGCGCCAACGGCGAGGAACAGCGCTTCTACGTACCATACGACAAACTCGTTGTCGGCGTTGGTTCCGTCACAAATCCTCACGGCGTTAAGGGCTTGGAGCACTGCCACTTCCTGAAGGACATCAGCGATGCCCGATTGATCCGTAATGCGGTCGTTCGGAACCTCGAGAGCGCCTGTCTGCCGACGACCACCGACGAGGAGCGACGGAGACTTTTGTCGTTTGTGGTCTGTGGTGGTGGACCAACTGGTGTCGAGTTTGCGGCTGAGCTGTTCGACATGTTGAACGAGGACATGTGCAAGTCTTTCCCCAGGATTTTGCGCAACGAGATCTCCGTTCACGTCATCCAGTCTCGAAGTCACATCCTGAACACCTACGACGAGAATTTGTCTGAGTATGCCGAGAAACGATTCGCACACGACCAGGTCGATGTGCAGATCAATGCCCGTGTCAAGGAAGTCTTGTCCGACCGAATTCAGTACTCCCAGAAAGATGAAGAGAGCGGGAAGATCGTCACCAAGGAGATCCCCATGGGCTTTTGTCTTTGGTCAACGGGTGTTGCACAAACCGACTTCTGCAAAACGCTCGCAGCGAAACTCGACGGCCAGAACAACAAACACGCCCTCGAGACCGACACACATCTTCGCCTCAACGGTTCCCCACTAGGCGACGTATACGCCATCGGCGACTGTTCAACCGTACAAAACAACGTATCTGATCACATCGTGAACTTTCTCCGTACAACAGCGTGGGAGAAGGGCAAGGACCCGGAGACGCTACAAATCTCGTTCGCGGACTGGCGCGGCGTCGCGAAACGCGTAAAGCAGCGCTTCCCCCAAGCAGCCAACCATCTCCGTCGCCTAGACAAGCTATTCGAAGAATACGACAAGGACAAGTCCGGCACCCTCGACTTTGGTGAACTGCGCGAACTCCTCTTCCAAATCGACTCGAAACTAACCTCGCTGCCCGCCACCGCGCAACGCGCTCACCAGCAGGGCCAATACCTCGGCCGCAAATTCAACAAGATGGCACAGATGGCTCCTGGCATGGCGCTCAATGAAATCGACTACGGTGACATCGACGAAGCAGTCTACAAGGCCTTTGAGTACACGCACCTCGGCAGTCTGGCGTACGTGGGCAATGCGGCCATCTTCGACATCAACGGATACAGTTTCAGCGGCGGGCTGTTGGCTGTGTACGCGTGGAGGAGTGTGTACTTTGCGCAGAGTGTCAGCTTCAGAACGAGGTGTTTGCTCGCCATGGACTGGAGTAAGCGGGCACTTTTTGGAAGAGGTGAGTCGGTTCTCTATCCCATCATCAGGGTATCTTTGCTAATCTGTGACAGATATCATGAACTTTTGAGCGAATGGTGCAGTGGAATTGGTCATTTGTTGCTGCGTGACCCGTTATTGAGGCCCCGGCATGTAGACTTCTTTGTGTATACCTATAAATGCTACTACGTACTCTCTGTTACTACAAATAGCATACCCAACGACGTGAGCTACGTACAATCCTGCTTGCACTCTCAGTTTACAAGGGGCAGCGTTATCAGATGTCGCCGTTAAGGTAACATATGCAGCAAAAAAGCGGGTGTCTAAGCGACATATCTTAGAAGTGAACATCAATCAACTCAACACATGTGCAGAGATCATCTGAGAGACAAGATTATATTTTTCATGATCCATTGCACATCATAGTAAGGCGAAACTCAAAGTAGGTGATCTGTTTATAGCAGTACAATTGTGTCATATCATAATGAATCATATACATTGTCCAACCCCCAACATCGACCACCCTAATCAACCACCTATTACGACTCCCCATCCTTCCCATACACATCCCCAAAATCAGGCAACTCCAACCGGTACTCACGCGCCAGTTCATCCGAATCATGACTCTGCGTTGAATCGTTCGACACATTGCGCAAGTGTCCGGGGTGGTTATGCGCTGAATGCACCATGTAGTACTCGTCCGAGCGCTCACGAGATAGTGTCTGCTGCCCTGCTTCCCGTGAATCCAACACAGCGTGGTGAGGGCGCACGGGCTCGGTCTGCGAATGTGGGATCTCAGGGCGCACGAGCGGTGTGGATGGTGGTTGGTACGCTTTGTATGCGGGTTGGTCTTGATTTTGGACACTGGGAGATGGCTTAGCGTAGTAGCGCACGTATTTCGATGCGTTGGTTTTTGTGGGTGGTTGGTGCGAGATGGAAGGTTGTTGTGATCGATGATGAGGCTGTGCGCCGCCTGCTACTAAGCTTGCTGGTAATGTGTTGAGCGGGGCGGACTGTGTTCGTGGATTTAGAGGCCTGGTGGTTGGTTTCTGGGTCAAGGCAGAGGCGGTGATATCTGGAGGGCTGACTGGTGATTCTTCAGGTCTTGGTCCGCTGCTGGTTTTGGTGCCTTCCATTGCTGTGGTGCTCTCTGCTCGTGGGAATATCGTGGACTCGGAGAGCTTGTGTGTTGACATTGGGGGTGTCGGGACAATGTTCTTTGACTCGATTTCCTCGGCTGGCAACTCTGCGATGAGGTTTTTCGAACGAGGTGTTGTGTCGAGCTCGGCAACGGGTAGTGAATGCTTTGGGGCGAAGAGAGGCCGTGGAATCACTGAAACGTCGTGCTCAGGATGGGCCTCTGAGCTTGCTGCATGAGCAGCTAGATGGAATCCCTCAACGTCAGTTGCAAGGGCCTTCTTAGCTTGTAGCTCTTTTGACTCTCCAGCAGACTCTGTAGAGGAGACATCCGCACCCTCAGGTCTGACAAGATCAAGTTCGCCGATCTTGGGCTCACCCAACACGGGAATAGAGGTCTCAGATTGTGACATTCTATCCAGATGTGATCCATGGGATGAAGCCCTTGCTTGTGGGCGTTTCGGGTTGACCGTAATCGGTACTGGAGGGCCCATGTGTCCATACCCGGTATTACTTGAAAATCCAAGTTGCGACTTCAGATGCTCTTGTCCTGGGTTCTGAGACCCTGTTGCTTCGAACGTACTGACTGGCTGCATGTTGGGATACTGCTGCTGCTGATACGGAATGGTACGTCCATCCGCGAAGGGCGTCTGAGTGATGGCATACGAGGGCATTGTATCCCTGAACAACGCATTTAGGTTGGGCATGGACTTCCGCGCCTCAGCGACCATGGGAACAGGACAGAAGCTTGAAACTGCCTGTGGTCTTGAGCTTACCACACTCTGCATATTCGTGATTCGAGCCTGATACGACGGCACAGCGAGTTGATCATGCGCGGCCCGAGAATCCATTGATTTAGGTCGCATACTACTCATCGTAAGCAGAGGGCCTTCAGGACTTATGTTCCGGCTGTTGGGGGCACTGATATTTCGATATCTTGAACGAGAGTCTCTTGCAGTGATAGAATGATCTGGCTGTGTTTGTGGCTGTGAGATAGAGGGCGCATGTTGGTGAAAACTTCCAGGGACAGGGAGACTGAGATGCTCAGAGGAAACATGTATGCTTAGCGATGGCGAGGACTTGTGCGACGAGATAGGAGGTCTGATCAAATCCGAAGTAGATGCCGAGTACTTATGACCAGACTGCGGAGCTGGAGGGGTGATGGCCATCATCGGTGGAGGCTCCTTGTCAAGAAGTACGAGATAGCATCTGCGCTGATCTGTCTGAGCGAGCCGTGAGAAGAAGGGCGTTCCTAGAAAATATTCTTGGACGTCCTTTTGGTTGAGATGGCTCCGGATGTTTTGGATGTCTTCCCCATAGTTTTGACATAGAAACACGATATCTTTTCTGGGGTCCCAGGCTAAGTCTCGGACCTTACAACAGTATATCATTGTTTTCATCAAGTATAGCATGTTCAGGCCTTTGTAAGTGTTTTGTTTCCCATCAGTCTTCAATCCTAGAATTACGAGGTTACTGCTAAGGGAATCGGTTGGCGGAGTGCCATAAACCCCTTGACTTGGTCAGAAAAGAGTATCTACCAGTGTCGCAGGGACTGACCTGGTGGAACGAGGTTCACTTCGATGAAAGTAGTCAGGGTACATCCTGTATCTTTGTACTCGGGCCCCGTCTGAATGAAGATTTTGGTGGGAAAGAGAGAGTTCATGTCGCTGGGTACCCGAAAGCTACCATTGTGAGTGCCAGAACCACTGAGTCGACGATGAACTTACCGGCGATCAGCCATAAGCTTAGCTTTCATTCGCAAAAAGTCTCTGCTGTCGTATACGATGTGCAGATCTGGCATCTCACGTCGATAGCCTAGACACAGCATCTCCATACCACACATAACGCCCCATGTGAACTTGTTCTTATCGAAAAGATTCCGGATGTGGTTTGTCGCCGCGAGGAAGTTAGCCCGTGGAGGTATCATGGCGTTCTTCCCTTGCATTTCGTACCAGCGCTGAAACTCGTCAACATCGAAGTATTTCTTCTTATCTGTCATATTGGGGCGTGCGGATTGATAATATGGAAAGCAGTGATGACCATGAGCACAGAAATACGAGAGAGTATAGAACACGAGCTGGAAACAGGCAACTTGTACACGACCAAACTGCTATGGGAGGGTGACGCCGTCGGTTGATCAGAGCTCACAGGCGCAGATATATGTGAGAGAGAAACTTGGCGCAGCTCCGCCACGCATCAGCAGGATGGTAGAGCTTAGTGGACCCTCGTAAACGCATCATGTTGCTTACCCGGTGAGGTGCTGCTAGCAAGTCCCCTGATTAGTTAGACTTGGACTGAGGCCTGGACGCGCTGGGCCGAACTGAACCTGGATAGGGAAGTGACGATTGGATACAATGAACCAACGGCCACCTCTTGCCCTGCCACGAGAGGGTGGAATCAATCGAGCTATCTAGCACCATAAATATGTCAGTGGATGCATCTGGTGAGCCTGTGCTGAGGCTGAGGTGGTTATTTTTAGTAAGAGATGCACGGACGATCTCCGACAAGTGCATTGGCTTTCATGATCCGAAGAACACTCTACATGCGCATGCACAACGCCCTACCCCCGAACTTCAAGTCTACTTATCGATGTTGAAGTCGAGATGGGAGTAGAAAATCCTAGTTCACTCTATGCACCAAACCGACTTCTAGTGACGAAACCTCGCGCTGCACGCTACATCATAGATATTCATTCACAGTAGTCAAATGTTATAGAAACTGCATGCTGTTGTACAAAATGCGACTGAGAAAAAGAGTCCTGATTGCATACGTGCTCGAGTCTCATGCCATTTTACGCCAAAACAAGTCCCAGAGAGCCGTCGTCTTCGTTCTACGATTCGTAGTGACCAAGTGTTCATAGCATCGTGTAGAGCCTCAGATACCGCCACCTACAGTATCAGTCAGAGATAGTTTCGGTTTGTGCAGACGTGCTGTCAGGAACTACCTGATCTGTCTACAGTTACACTGTAGTCGCCAGTTGATCGTTCTCTCTTTTTGAGGGCCAGAGTCCTTGATTTCATCATGAAATAACCTCCACCGAGGGAGAAGAGAGAAAGGAAGGTGAGGTTACGGGGCCTGGTAAGAAACAACGTGCTGTTAGCCTCTGTCCGAAAGCGGTGAAGAACAATGGATGCTCTCAAGTGACGAGGAACTTACGTGAGAAGCCGTGAGTAAGTCATTGAATTCTGTAGAACTATGAGATGGTAAGTGTCAAGTTTGTAAGTTTGAATGGAATTCAGGAGCTGAGGAGGCTGTTAAGGGCTTCAACGCCTCCCGAGGTGTCGTGTGATGTATTTCCCCACTGCGGAAACATGGCATGATGCGCCCTCTCGCTCAACTGCAAAAGCCGGAAGTAAGTTGCGTTCCTTGTGGCTCCTACAAGCAGCAGAACTACGCTAACAGGAGTTGTAAAAGTGCTTGCTAGGCGTGTACTGCTAAATATTTAGGCCTAGGATTTTTTTACGCTAATTTGACTTGTAGTTGTCGAGTTGCTGCAAGATTTCGCTGCGCTTTAGTTCCTTCCGCACCTCCGTCGTTGTAGCCAATCAGCGCTCACTTCCACCGAAGCGCAAAGAAAAGTTCGCGAGTCTACACGCAGAGAGCTTTCCGCCATTTTCACACCAACACTGCAAATCCACAATGCCTTTACCAAAGAAACAGACTGTTCCCATCAAGGCGGCGAGTTCCAGCGCGCCAAAGAGTGAGTGGAATACAATATTCATGCACGCGCAGGGAAAGACACGAGAGTGGGCGCATTGTTTGCGCCTGCGCGCAATGCAAGCCCTATCAGCGACATATCAGATGCTGACGGCAATTACTTGTAGGCGACGCTCGATTCGCAAATTTCGAAAGCGACCCAAAGTTCAGACTGCCTTCGAAAAAACACAACAAAACCAAACTCGATCCACGTTTCTCGCGCCTACGCAGCGACCCGGACTTTTACAACAAAGCCACGGTCGATAAATATGGTCGCAAGATCTCAAAGGATGCCGGGAAAAAGGCCATGGAGCGCTTGTACGAAGCAGACGATGACGAGGAAGTTGGAGAAGATGTAGAAGACGAGCTAGAACTAGAGGGTCCGTCAGATGGGAAGCGGGACAAGGCTGTCGCTAAAGAGCTGGCAAGAGTAGCAGAGCAAGGCTTCGATCCTATCAGGGACGGCGGCATAGAGTCTTCTTCAGATGAGAGCTCCAGTGACGAAGAAGAGGACGAAGACGTCGAAGAGCAGGCAGAATTGGCTGGGGAGGGCAACGATGTGCCGACGGGTGACATCTCAGCCCGTCTGGCTGCGGTGAACATGGACTGGGACAACATGCGGGCCAGTGACATAATGGGTGTCGCGAGTTCGTTTATCCCAGCTGGTGGGAAGATCTTGAACGTGGTTATCTATCCAAGCGAGTTTGGCATGGAGCGACTACAACGTGAGGAGATTGAAGGCCCGCCTCGCGAAATCTTTGCGTCCACAGCGAACAAAAACGAGAACAACATCACCTCATTGGGCGACTCTCCACAGGCATCCGATTCCGATGATGACGAGCAAACAAATGACGATCTGCAGAAAGATGACGGCGAGGAGTTCGATTCGACGGCATTGCGGAGCTACCAACTCGACCGTCTGCGCTACTACTATGCTGTTATCACATGCTCTTCAGCAAATGTTGCAAAAGCGATCTACGACAACCTAGACGGGCGAGAATACCTAACGAGCGCCAACTTCTTCGATCTTCGATTCGTTCCTGATGGCACCACCTTCGACCAAGACCCCCATGACAACTGCAACAAATTGCCGGAAGGCTACAAGCCGAATGAGTTCACCACAGATGCGCTCACCCATTCGAAAGTCAAGCTGACATGGGACGCCGACGACGCGACAAGAAAAGAAGTCCAAAAGCGCGCATTCTCGAGAAAAGAGATTGACGAGAATGAGCTGCAAGCTTACCTCGGTACAGACTCTTCGTCGTCAGAAGATGAGACTGAGATTGCCAAAACTGAAAAGGCAGCAAGTCTCCGAGCAGCTCTAGGTCTCGAAACCACAAGCAGAACCTCAAAGTCGAAGCCAAAGCCATCTGCGAAGAGAGACCGCGATTTTCCCAAGCCAGACGGAGAAATGCAGATTACTTTCACAGGCGGCCTCTTGAACGGCACTGGCAAGGGCTCTGTATTCGAGAATGAAATTCCTATTCAGGAGACAACCATGGAAGCGTACGTACGCAAGGAGAAAGAGAGAAAGGCCAAGCGCAAGGAACGATCAAAGGCCAAAAGGGAGGGGCGGGATCCTGATGCCGAGATCGAGGAAACAGCGGACGCTGATGCGGGTGTTGGTGCTGATGAGGACGATCCTTTCAACGACCCGTTCTTTGGATCTGACGCCGAAGAAGCCGCGAAGGCTGTGAAGGTGGACCAGAAATCCAAGAAAGCCAAGAAACGCGAAGAGAGAGAACAGCAAGAGAAGGCCATAGCAGCTGAGCGAGCGAATCTCGAGCTACTTATGGCTAACGAAGATGATAAGATGCGTCACTTCGACATGAACGAGATCGTCAAGGCGGAGAAGGCTAAGAAGAAGGGAAAGAAGGCCAAGAAGAATGTGCCGGTTGTGGAAGACAACTTCAAGATCAATACAAGCGACCCGCGTTTTGCTAAGCTGTACGAGAGCCATGAATTCGCAATCGATCCTACAAACCCAAGGTTCAAGGAAACAGCGGCTATGAAGGCACTGCTTGAGGAGGGACGTAAGAAACGAAAGCAAGGTGGGGACAGAGATGAACCTGAACGTGCGCGGGATTCCAAGAAGTCTAAGAAGGAGCAGACCGATGGGGATGACGACCTCAAGAAGCTGGCGGCTCGCATCAAGGCCAAAAGCAAACAAACGTAAGGTGTTAGATCAATTTGCGTAGAATGATACCCCGTGGTCCCTGGTAAATTCCAACGTAGCACAGTGAGATTTTTGCAGATCTTTGTCTGCTCTGTCAGTTGTATGGTGATGTCGAGATGTTTACGTACCACTATGTGCGAACTTTGAGGAAGGAGCACCTTCATGTCTCCTGCGACTGCCTCATAGTCAAGTTCGTGACCCACGTCTCAGTAACACCGCCTTTCAATTTATCACCAGCCTCCTGCTGTTCGGGACGCATTTGTTCTCATACACCTACTGCTTCCCCGCATCGATATCTTCTTCTTGAAGCTCGTTGAGCTTCATGATGTTTCCTTCGCTGCTACACACATATTCTTATCTCAAAACACCTCCAAAACGAAGCCTAGTTTGTCAGTCTTGGCCCCAGATCACATCTACCTCTTGCTAGTGTATGGCCCCACCATGGGTTACGTTCGATAGTGTTGCTTTCTACGGTGGGAACTGTGGTAATGGGGCAGAGCCAGATATCGCGGGTATCGGCGTCAGTTTTCTCTTCGATTTTCTAAAGCAATGTCAGTTAACCTCTGCACAGGTCGTACTCTCCTTCGTTATCGCCAGTGTCATGACGACAATAGCTTCCATCCTTGCTATGATTCTCGATCAAGCCCACGACTCCAAGGGCCAGTTCACACTGCGAGCCCCCATCAAATACATTCGTGAGCGGTTCCTGGATACAGAGTGGAAGAAGGACTATGCGTGGCGTCCGTTTCTAGATCCGCTGATTATAGGCCTGGGGGATCAGCAGTTGATCACAGGTTATGCTGTACTGCTCAGCGGATGGATAAAGGTACATTTCTCCTCCAGTCAATCACAACTCATGTCATAATACCCGATGATGCAGGTTGCACAAGATTCCTTTGAAGTGCAGGGCGCGCACTTCGTTCTGATCTTATACATCTGCGCGCTCTCGTCATCGTCTCACCTCGCCGCTCTCCTCACGCTCCGCAAGTACTTTCGCAAGTACAAGCTCATTGCAAAGATCCGACTCACGCTCGTCGTCTTGTTCACTGTGTTCCTCCTGTCGTCCATGGTTGCAGCCATCTGCAAGCCGCCCACCGTCATCAAGCTTGGAAACGGTGACACAGAAATACAGGGTCGTGCGCAAAGACTGTCATTCGTAGTTCCTCTGTTCCTCATCGTGATCGGTTTCTCTACAGCATTAGTGTGCATTCTCTACGATCCAAGACGACAAGGCATCGCTTTCCGCCTATCAAACACCTCAGCAAATTCCGTACCATGTCACGCCCGCCGCGCAACAGATCCCAAGCAGAACGGCCTCACCACACACGGTATAGCAACTCCAGCGCACCTGGGCCTTTGCTTTCTATATTACCTTTTTCTCAACCCGCTCATCGCCTTCGCCGTTCAGATTCTGTTGGCTATACTATCAGCTACATTGGTTTTGAGCCAGAAGTTCGCGCAGCCGGATGATCCAGGGCGATTCTGCGGGTTGCAGGATGAAGGAGAGAATGTGTGGGGATTTGGTCAAACACTTAGTGTTGTTATGCTGTTGTTGCCTGCAATGAGTGCGTGTCATACGTATTTGGAAGGGAGACAGGATATTCATGAGGGATTCACCAGACCGAAGGATTGAGATGGAGTGCGGAAACCTGGGGCGTATCCTCAAGTGCCTTGAAACATCCTCAGTCCCCATGTCGAATTCAACGGGTATCTTCTCTGAATTTAACCTACTCATTCTTGTTCTGTGACAGATGCACTGTCCATCCTTGCGTAGAGATTGTTCTGCGTGTAATTCTCTCCGCCCATCTCACGTCGCTTTCTCCCCACTGTCCTCCTCTTCATCGACATGCATGCTCTCCGCAAACCCAACCCACTCCGTCAACCCTCTAACAAACATATCTTGCCCCACATCCACCTGCCCTCCATGCCCCCAGACCACCATGTCCTCAAACTCGCCGACTTGCTCCGCAATTTTGATCTCCTCGGCGACCCCTTCTTCCTCCTCCTCATCCCCTGACCCTTCTGCCCGAGTCTGCGACCGCGATTGCGGAAGCTGCTTATCTGTAACGTGCAACACAGCGCCGGTGTATTTCTCGGGTAGAGGAACGACAGTGCCGTGGAGATGGCGGCCGCGGAAGTGGACGTGTTGGGTACCTGGTGGGTGTGTTAGCTGCATGTATGTTGCAAGATGTGTGGAACAAGTACCTTTAGAGTCTGTTTCTGGCTTCCAGTACTGAGATGTGTTGTCTATGGGGCCATTGTGGTTTATGCGCGCGGGGAGGAGGTTGGGAGTGCATTTTTGCGGTTTGGTGGATTGGATGGACAGCATGGCTGCGTGTGTGTTTGATGAGAGATGGGTCTGGTCGTATGCGCACTCCAGGTGGATAGTACTGGGAAGGATAGAATTGATATTGAGTTAATTCGAGATCTCAGAATTAGTTACTGCCTCAGTTGAGATGTGGGTGGTGTTTGCAATGCGCGTGGGTGAATTTGGAGCTGGAGTTCACGCGTCGAGACGCGTCGCGTGGTTCCGCGCGAGTCGATCCCCTGATGCCATCCACTTCTCAACATCATCACCTGCACCGCTTCTCACATTTCGTATGAATGTTCCTCCTGTGCATTTTGAAGCATCAACACATGCCGGCCGTTGTTTGTGATGGCTTGGATCAGCCGTTAGCCTGTAATACTCGCATCAACTTTCCTAGAGGATAACGCGATCTTGACGGCTTCTCTTCTATGTCGTAGAAATAGATTGATTTTCCCCTTCCCTGAATTCACATAGATCGAGAATGAAGATCGGAGTTGGTTGCCGTTTGAGATGCATCGCGAGGTATAGCCCTGCGTCAGGTCGACAACCTAAGCTCTTTGCATCGGACTTTCCAGCGTTCACGATGGAATACTATAAGACTAGTGATTGTTGCATACTTTTAGAACACCTGTGCTAGTTCTAATAAAGTCTCACTCGACGTGATCTTGCGCGCTCGAGTAATTAGCATCCGCCGGCAGATAGACACGGCACTACAATTTACTCTTACCCGCCGCTTCTTTACTCCTTTTATCTTTGATCTCACTTACCAGCGCTTTCATACTCTCATCACCAGCTGCAGCTCTCTGCTCAAACTCTGCCAGGTTCTCCTCAATCCACTTAGCATCTTGACCTGCAAGGGGCAATGTGAAGCCCTGTTCCGCGCCCGCCACAATATCCTCCATGATGAACACGTTATGAAGCGCCCTCTCGTCATCCAATCGTCCCAGTCTCTCCTTCGATCCATGCGCAACCCTTTTCTTGTCCTCGTTCGCTTCCTCAATCTCGCGGCGAGACGATGACTCCTCTAGCAAGGGACGGGCTTCCTCATTCCATATCCTCATGATTTCCTGGACGAGCGTGTCGAGCTTGTGCCTATTTTCCGGACCACGGGGGCGCACATGGCCTATTATATAATTCGTCATGACCTACGCCAGCAGATTAGCAGGCTTTGGTCAAATTCTGATGGATCAAGATGTGAGCGACTTGCATTTCGGCCCCCGACTCTTATATGCTGCGTGTCCCCAGTTGTATGGAAAATACCGTTGTTATCCTTGTGTATGTGTTGTGTGCGGTGAAATGTGACATTTACGAAGATGGAGGGCGCGGAGAAGAGAAGACAGTGTAGATCCGTGAGCGCGGAGGCGAGAGCGTCGATTTGGGCCAGGGTGAGGGGGCATGTGTGGTGGACTTCGTAGTGAGGCATTGCGGGGAAAGGTGAGGTTTGTGAGAGTCGAAGGCTGAGAACCGATAAGGTGGTTATTGGTTAACAATGCTCGGAATTTATTTATGGAACGTGCAGATGGGATAATTGAGCGGCAGTTGGCGAATGAAGTAGATGGTTTGACTAGGTTGTGGACTTGCGTGAGGTAGTTTGCCTAATTCGTGTTTGGAAAGCGCAAGTCTACTCACGATGCGCAGCTCCAACGCTCAAATCTCGCCTCTCATAAACCTTGACCACTAACTTCTTTGCTCACATAATGTGTGGAACCCCAAACACTCTTTTCCCCGCATGTTTGCTTGTGCAGCAGTCGGCCCTTTGATGGTTCGTCCGCCGTAACTCGGCTATCGATCTCCACCAGGGGCCACACCCGCTGAACTCAGATCTGGGTTGAGAATATCCCGCGCTGTCACAACCTTGTGTGACTCCACTTTCGCGTTGCAGAGTACAAGGTCATCTTGGCAAGTGTATACAAAACAATGTGTGGCCTCGTGGTGGGGTTACACTGCGGTAGGTAGGGACCAGACCGCCAAGCTTTCGGTGCGATGCGTTTATTTAAATGAGCTAAGATCATATAAGCACTTTTCGAACGGAAGTGAACGGTATATGTGCATATATATATACTATTAACAAGGATTGTCTATATCGTATGTGCGTCTCCTGCTAGGGAATATACTTTCCATGTAATGCACTGTCAATATGTCGGACGATCCCTTGCATCAGCCTTGAACGCCTCCAGCAAGGGATGATGCGTGCATCTGCAGATCTGTGCGACACCACAGCTTGTGTATATATGTCTTGTCCGCACGTTCTTTAGAGCTTCGATGTGTCGGTCTCCCCCAACGGGTTGTCTGGAAATGCCACAAAACTCTCGTCGCCGTTGAAATGCCTGGTGGACGTTTCGTTAGCAGTGGATTGGCATAGAAAATCGATTGAAAAGATATTCAGATGGTTCAGAAAGAGGAGTTATCCCAGCGTGGATCCCGACTTGGGCCAGTTCTCTCTGTGGTGGTAAGGAATGGGAGGAGATGAGGATAGATCGGCGATTCGAGAAAAACAAAGCAACTTACCATCCTCTCTCTGCACCTCCAGAGAGGTACGACGTCTCGGAGTTCAGGACACAATCCCAATTGCCTGGCACGCCCTTTGCAGGGTCTACACTCCTTCGAACAAACTTGGACAGTCCTGCCGTATAGCACTTGAAGTCGTCTTCATCGGGATCATCCGGCATCTGGCCTGTCAATACTCGACCAGCGGCTATCATCGTGGCAGCATGGGTGCACAGCAGAACGGTCTTTGGTTGTTCGGCGTCGTTGTCAAGTGTCGTAATGATATGGTCCAGTGCGTTTCTGACCCGGTCATGGAGTTCAAGAATCATCTCGCCTTTTGACGATGGGAGATGTAGGGAAACATGATCCTGATCAAGGTTTTCAAAATGAAGTGTCAGGAGTGTCAAATCTGGTGGTGTTGGATGGTCCCAGGTGGCGCGTCCAAAGAATTCCCTTTGGTATCAATATCAGCAGTCATCTTCAGCACATGCACGTCATGTTCACAGCGACGACGCATCGGAGCCTCACATACCCGATCCCCCGGTCGATCCTGATTTTCCCCTGCGCCTTACCCTCCTCGAACAGTCTATCAGTCGTTGGCTTGATAGTCTGCAGACATCTGTAGAAGGGGCTCGAGTAGATCCTATCAATCGGGGGCTCTATGTTGCACAGATATTCTGCAAGCTCCTTTGACTGCTCCACCCCCTTCGACGTTAACGGAGGGTCTGTCGGAATTCCAGTCGGTGTCCTATGTAACAATGATGTGTACCTGAGCAGGTTTAGCGAGTGTAGCGAGTGGCCCGCTTGCAGGACATGGAATGAGTCTAGCTTACTTTCCGGTCTGGTGATCTACTGTCCAGTTCCCGCGAAACTAATGCCCGGAGACTACGGTTAGAAAGCATGTCATTATAAGGGGAAGTGGAGAGCGGTTCGCTTGCGTGGCGCGGAAATTGAAGACTAGGGATAGGAGTGTGTGGCATTCAGCATTTCTGTGGTCGGAAACGCAACCGAGGATCTTGTGTGGCGTGTCGGGGCGGTGAAGATGCAGGACACGCTCTGACTGTGTACGTACTGCATGCCGAACAATGTACACTACTTCTATCATCTTCCGTTAGGTGCTTTGGAATACCCAGGTATCCGATCGCATTGGTGTAGGTCTGTGGGTTTGCGGACACAAGATCCTAGTTACCACTCCTGCGAGTCGTGACGATGTCGCTTGTCAACGAATGGCTTAAAGCCTCGGCTATCTTCTTGACCGCGTACACCTGTCTTTTTCGGATTGTGTATTCTTGTACAACACGGGAATAGCCTGAGGTGTGTGTCGAGATAACCGATTTCGTCACATGCCTAAGACCGAAGAAGGTCGTGCCCTTATCGGAGTTTTAAACTTATGCGCCCGATACATTCATTCGCAACGAAGCCCTTGAATTGCAGCATTCTCGGGCATGAAACCAAGTTTGTTACTACTCCGGTATATAAACATGTTGCAACTTTTGTCAGTCTTGCTGTAGCCTACGCAAATTGTCACAATTGACCGCTCCGACTTGGAGACATTCACACCCAATCGTCATTCCGCGGGCGGACGACGGCGGCATGCCGATCCTATCCCCCACGTCTCAAGGCGCCCTATGCAGCCGTTCAGCAGTGTCAGTCATTAGCGTGACTCTACATAGCTGCACGAGCCTCAGGTACGAGTCAGCCTAGAAACAGCGCGTATCAACAAACTCCGAGGCTCTGTAGTTGGCGCAGCATGTGTTTGTGTCGTTGCCGGGATGCACAGCTTCTGCTACGTCAATGCAACAGCCTCCTGTTGGAAGTCGTGACATGCTGAGTGTTGGCGTTTGTAGGCATAAAATTGACGGCCAGGCCCAAATTTCCTGGACGGGACGTCATGGCGTTCTGAAGACGCACCCGCTCGCCAGTATCCTTGCTCCCATCATCGACGCTACCGTTTTTCTCGCATCCTGTGGGTGTTCACATGCCGCTGACGATGTGTACACTTAGTCGGTGGGCCCTTTCTTCGGCGCGGGAACGCTTTGCAGTGGAGAAGCTTCAGCGGGAGAAAAGTCGCGCAATGTTGCCAGGGTCTGAATGCTTCTCAGCTCTAAACGTCTGTCCACCGTAGAATGCGGGGTGGATGGCGGTGGCTGGATAGACGAGATAGACCCTTGCTGACGCAATGAGATCTGTCTTCGAGTGAGGGATTACCATCTGCCACGATAGGAGATTTCCGTTGTCATCTAGCGCTCAGAACCCAAGCAGTTTTTTTCCATTGGCAAAGAGCCTAGGACCCTATGCAAACCGATGCCATCAGAGCTTATCATTTCGCGTGTAGCTGTGTGACCTTCTTGCTCGCTTGCTGGGTTAAGATACTTGAAACCATCTCGTGCTTGACAAACACTACTGCAAGCCAGTCTACAGTCAAGCCGCAGCATCCCCGTTGTTTGTCTCATATCTGGAACGCCGTCGCTAAAGGGGATAGAGTGACGCATCCTGGAGTTGAGTCCAAGATAGGTGTGATGTCCGTTGTTGTACAAACTATTCGGACAGGCTAGAGACTATCCCGTCCCATCCACTTGGACTATCCCAGTAAATTGTAGGTGGCGGAGGTCGGTGCGGCTGCACGTAAACTTCTACGGCATGGCGTAGAAGCCCGGACACTCCCGAAAGTCACCGTAGAGATACCGTTTGTGGGGAATTGTGTCGAGCAGATCGGAATTGCCCCGTCACAAAATTGGCATTCTAAGTTGGAGGATACGTTAGAACAGATGTTGATCTGAGGAAAACGTCCGAGGCGAACACAATACTCAGATGATGGAAGCACGTGAAAACTTACAGTTGACAAATTCACGACGTATGAGAATAATCCTCGCTTGTCCTCGGCGCCGTCGCTTGATACTGACTTGTTGTTGTAATTGATCCTTGTCAGAAAGGCGGGCGCGGGATGATTTTGAAGATGCGTCCCTGAACAAGGAATGGCCAGCCGATGTATGCATCACAGTCACTTCTTCAAGAACGCCTATCCTTTCGTTAGGTCGAGTCCAATTAGCCAGAATCAAGGCTAGGTACGCGCGTGTACTGCAGGAGTGGATCTTGGAGACCCATCCAACGCAGATGACCAAATCGGTGGCGCAAGGTGTTATCATGTTTGCAATACCACCAAAGGTACCATCTGACAATCGCATTATCCCATGTAACATCGAAAACCCCGCATGCAACTAGGAGAAATAGCATTCAGCGAGATACTTGCATAGCCTCGCGGAAGAATTTGTGGAAGGAGGAGGGAAAATTTGTGCGCAAAAAGCTATTCTTCGACGAATGGAGGCTGCGCAACAAAAATGAGTCGCGCGTGCAATTATGCGCCTATGCGCCTGCGCAAGCTAGTGATAAATAAACTTTCGCAAATGATGTTCTACCACTTTGCCTGTTCGGGCCAGCATCGAGATGCCAGGGCGTCTGCAAGGTTACCGTTACTTTCGAATACCGGACATCGGCTCCGGTTACAAATAATTACCTGTGAATAGTAGACTGTTATATTATCACGTGTGCGCCTTTCATCGGCCCCGAAATATCTCGTATAAGCAGTTCCTCCGAAATGTGTTGCAGCTACCCCGGTTTCTGCGGGCGCTGCGTGTGATCAACGCCAGGACATTCACAGCCACCTCCTCCTCGATTAATACAAATCCAGCGGCGGCGCGCTTGTTAGACGTAAACCGATTATGCCTTTGCCAGAGGATTAGATGGATACCTACCGCTACCCATAGAAGCGGACAGCTCGATATGGTTGACCGCATGTCTGAACTGAGAATTCTGAACGGGCTGGATTACCGCTTTTTGTAGATCATCGTTGAGCCGACTGTCCCGGTGGATACTCAAACCCAGTATGCATGATGGCGCGACGTCTAGTACCGCTCATCCGTACCTAGTGAGCGCCGACAATAAGCTAGGCCTCATCAGCAATCAGGAACAAGCCAAGTATAGGAGAATAGTCACATGTAAACAAAGGAGAGAAACAGACGTGGGATCTGCGCTTTGACTAGGCTTCGGGCGATTCCGACGCACAGCTTCCGGTCGATACCTACCTTATCATGTGGCCTGAGAAGCGGGGGTATCAAACGGTCAAGGCGTTCATGCCACGGAACTAAAAGAGTGGGAAAAAGAAAGTAAGAGATTGACGCAAACGCGAGCCGAAGATCAGCAGTGGGGTTGATCGCGGTTGTTAAGGACTATTAGACAATACTGAACGGAAAGAAAACATTACAGTCTATTAACAACTTATCCCCCTAGGTCTAGATTCCAGCCTTCATCTCTCGTTAACGTCGCGTAGCGGGATACCCTTTTCCGCTTCGGCGTCAACTTCTGTAAAGCTTCCGCGGGCCGAAAACTTCCCAAGTTTGTTCAATTTCTTTTCAGTGATCCAAACACGAAGCACAATAAGATACCTTACAACAAGGAAAATGATGATTGCAACGACCAGAATGCCAACGATGTAAGCAGCCACGATGCCTGATGAATTCTCCTGCAAGTCGAGGAAGCCGTATGTATAAAAGCCCTCCGTGGCGTACGTGAGATACGCCAATGCAAGGTACAAGGCCAGAATGATGATAGTGGGTATTATGTCGAAGAAAGGCAACGGCTCAGTCCGAGGAATGACGATCTCAAACAAAGCGTAGGCCGAATTGAGGGCATGTTGAGATGTGTTTGCCCAGAGTGACAAAGCAGACGGAAAACGGCCGGGTGCGAGGATTCCCCAGTAAACGGCTGCCAATGGTCAGTTTTGAATTCTTGATACGCCAGTCGTAGTTAGGCAGGACCGCGAGGCACAGTCAACAGTTGTGAGAAAAGACATCAAAGTAGCCATCTCACCAACAGCCTTTTCTATACAGTCACATCTTGTAGGCGGAGTATAACGTACCAGTAACAATCCAAGGATATATCACAATAGTAGAGTAGAACATGCTATGCGCTATCTGAAGTGCTCTTGGCCACCGCGCTAACAACGGGGTCCCAGTGAGCCAATAGCTACAGGTATGCACAGCACTGACAGCATTGTAGAACGCGAGGCCCCAATATGTCAGGTATGTGAAGTACGAGAACGAATAGCGTGAGGCCTCAGACATGCCGCGGCTGCCATTGAAGCCAAAGATGGTGAACAATGTGGTGAATGCGTAAAGCGATAAAAGAGCTCGGAGACCAAAGAGTAGACCAGGCGAGATGATCCAAGACGTTTCGAATCTATGCGTATGATCGAACGTTCCCGTATAGGGTGTCGTCAGTCGTTTCGTAAACGCCATTTTGCCAAGCGATGTGGATGGTGACAGCGAAGAGTTCTAGGGTGCAGTAGGTGCGACAGCGGCTGCGATGGGGGGTTGCGACGTGTTGTTGGGAGGACTCCCTCTTTCTTCCCAGTTTGCAAAAGATTGAGAGGCTGGGCGGACGGCTGAAACATCGATCGCGGCAAGGCACGCTAACGGCTTACATCCCAAATATAGCGTATTATTTCGGAGTCGTTTGTCAGCGATGCACGGTTTGAAAATTACGTCCATGCTGATCTCGTCTATTGCGCCTTTCGGGGCTTGAAGCTCAGACCTCCCACCACTGCAACCCCGGAGGCGAGATGCAATCTAACCCTACTGTGTACAGGCTGTGATGCTGCAATGCCGCGATGTCTCCACTAGCCAGGATCTACTCTCTAACATACATCAGTCTTGGGGGGGCATCCTCATGCTCGTGCCCGACCATTGCCTACTCGTTTAAGACTACTTGAAGCCGTCACGTTGTACAGATCCCACAGCATGATCGCGCAGTTGAACTTGGCTCTATCACAATATTTCAACGTCAATTCTTTTTTACCATCACACCGTCGTCTCAAACATCACTATGAGTGACTCAAGGACTTCGGTGAGTACAAGCTGTCTTGTGCCACTATCTAGAATGTCTTTGCTAACAGTAAACCAGAAAGCACAGAATCTTGCTCGGATACGCGACAACCAGCGTAAGTTTCTCCCAAAGATTGTTGTTCGATCAGTGATCAGTTTCGACGGCACCGCCACTCGAAAAGATGTAGGGAACGACTTTGGCTGACATTACACTCCAGGTCGTTCACGTGCGCGCCGCAAGGAATATCTTCATGAGCTCGAAATCAAACTGCGAAGCTGCGAGCAAGCCGGGATCGAGGCATCGTCTGAAATTCAGAGTGCAGCCAGAAGAGTCCTAGACGAGAACAAGAAACTTCGCGCACTCTTGTATGAACGGGGTGTATCTGAACAGGAACTTGTAGCGGCATTGGGTGGACCTCCCGAGAGATCATACGACCAGATTTCCTCAGCACCAACGCTGAACACCATGCTGGAACGAAGAATTCCCTGCAACATGCTGTCTTCCACCAGCTCACCGGCACCCGCACACACCAGGGCAGCTTCATTGCCCCGTCACATGCCCTCAGTACAGTCAATCACTGTTCCGGCATCCCGCGCAACAGCGCTGAGCTGCTACGACTCCGCCAGTCCTGGCTCAATAGTGTCCAGCATGGGGACCCCACCACCAGCTTCCTACTCGACACCATTCTACAGCACGCCAGCGACCCCTCCTGCTTCAGAGATCAAGACAGAAGGAGTACAATACGACTACCCGTATGAGCAAGCTTACAACGGCTCCTGGGCCTACTCAAATCATTACAACTTTGCTGCGGATCCAGTCCCCTATTACAACTCAACGTCATGCGTCGATGCCGCCAACATCATACGTACGATGCGATCTGATGTCGGACCCGAGCTGGAAGCTGGCTTTGGATGTCGTACCCCGGACCAACATTGCTATGTCAACAACAACATGGTTTTCGGCATGATGGATAGGTACTCGAACCAACACACTCGTATATGAAGAGTATGACACAAATGAGCATCGGCTGTTCGACAGCTTATATCCTAGCCCATGGCACAACGTCAAACTCGATCACAGTTGGAAGCAGGGGCGGCGCGACTCATCAGAACAGTCGTAGGGCGTGTCGCATACGGTCTTGAGCTCAGGCAGCTATACCAACATGCAGACACTCACCAATGATCATCACGCTGGAACGCGCGATGTTCGTGGACGACACTATGTGCCAAACCCTGGCGGTGCTTCTAACGAAGCACGGCTGTATGCAGCGATCGCCACATTACACAACGCCGCCTCCATACACTCTCGAACGTTGAGAAACCAGCCCAAGAATTCCTGGCTTCCAACAACGCAACCTGCTCGACAATGTTAGCCAAGTGTACCATAGTTCTGATGGAACAAGTCCATCGTGTATAAATAGATATGATTGTCATTATTTTGTTCGTCTTAATTAGATAACTCGGCTGTATTCACCCGTTTGTCGATCTGTTGTTGGACTCTAGACAAAAAGTGCGTTGTACAATTATACCAATAATGCATCTTCCGAAATATCACTTATCTCCTCGCTCTTTCCTATCTTGCTCGCTTGTCGACGTTGCTCGATCGTTCCAACTCCTTCGATCATGCCCCCAGCACAAAGCGAGCATTGACTGTGCAGATGACCATGAGAAAACGCTGGAGAAAGCTCCGGCTTCCATCGGATCGTCGAAATCCCTGCAAGATTTGTCTGCCGATTCGGGAAGGTGAGTAGTCGGTGGGGGTAATCTACTACAGTTGAAAATAGCGGTACGCCTGATCATAACCCCGTCGATCACTATTGTCGTAGAGGCAGTCGACAAGCATTGGAGTCATTTGACATGAAGAATCCCCTCGACACTTCACAGGCAGGTTCGCACTCTTGAGTAGTTTTAACATTTGATGGGCGAGAAATGTGAAGGGAGAGAGCGAAGCTGTTACTATCTCATGGCCAGGTAGGATATGGCTTCTGGTAAGGATTGTAAGCGTCATTGGGGCCGGAAAATACTACAGACACTACTCATTGGAGATGTTATCCACGCCATGACTATGTGTATGTTCATCTCTCTACATACATCTCAGGAAATACATCCAATGGTTGAGTATGCTATATTTAAGCTGATCTTTTATTCTACATAGACCAGGGAGAAGTCGCCAACCATGCCATCGTCGATGCTCGTGGATCGAAGAACAAAGGCTACCTAGAATTGCACTCAGACCTTGAGACACTGCAAGTTGACATAGCTAAGTTCGAAGCCGTCATGATCGAGAAGACACGTCTGCAATACTGGTGGTGTTACAAACGTGCATGACTGGAACAAACTGTCATGAGATTCTCCAAGCCTGTTGATCACCACACAACGGATGAAGCTTGGGGTTGAAGGTTGAGTCTAGGATCAAGAACAGATGCTTCGTACGCTGGTCCTCATCATGCGCTCAAAACCTGATGGTCGAATGTTGGTAGACCGCGGTCGATTCGCATCAGATCAACGTCGTCCTTTTGATTGAAAATCTTCTTGGGGTTGAATCGAAAGTGTTGAATAAGTCATCCGTTGAAGTTGTGGCTGTTGGTGTTGTAGTGACGTGAATGAGTTCGTGGTGAAAAAGTTGTACGTTGGTATGCCGACTACTCCGAGGAGTTCTTTTCTTTTGTACTCTTGATAGTTTCCAGTAAAACGCTATGGGCCTCGTTGTCGGTCGCTTCCAGGTGCATTCTTTGCGTGGGTTGTTAGCACCCCCTTCAGGTGCAGTTTATGTCTCTCTATTTAGCCTGTTCTTCTAAACGTGCCTGTAAGCTCCGTCTAGCGGTGCTTGCAAGTGTACATACATCGCATGTACCTCACAACAGCATGTTCTATACCAATGAGCAAAACAAGATCCATGCCCCGCCGATCACAAGACACGTTCATCGTCTTGCTACTCACTCATATCCTCACTCATGTCCCCACTCTCGTCACTATCGTCGATTTGTGTCAGGATCTCACTCTCGTTCTGTCGTTCCCTGCCCACAGATTTCTGCACTGCTTGCAGCATAGGAAGATTGGCCCCTCCATCCATTACTTTCGTCGCCTTCTTGATGATCTGCTGCGACCGTTTGATGACTTCCTCCTCCGCTTTCTTGATAGTTCCACTCACTCTGACTACCCTGGCTACAACCGGTAGGTCTATAGGTCTTGGTAGTCGCGTAACGAAGGTAAGTGCGGCCCATACCATCTCATAGTGATCACGGGGGCATCGGATGATAGCTGTCGATGTGGAGGGGGACCAGTAATTGACTATTGGCACATCAGCAATCTACCATATATGAGTAGTCAGACACGACATACCCTTTAGTCCACCAGATATCATGCCCATGCCGTAGTCCCCATAGAGTTCTGACACCCCATCTCGTATTAGCCGTACAAGTAGTCCTTGGTGCAACGAGTCGGGTGTGGGTGAGTAAGTCTGGACTAAGTCTGGAAGGTGTGCTTTGCCTTTAGAAGCAGGTTCGGGGTAGAGGAAGTTCACCACCAAGTAGCGGAATTTGACGCGAACCATGGCGATCGGAGTGTAATGATCAGCTGCGTAATGAGAAGTGTCTGGGCTGTGTACGCGTTCGGACGCGACGTGAATTCAGAGCGGTCAATTCGCGAAAAGTCTTTCAATGAAGTCTTGAACTTCGCATCCACAGCCCGTGCGCGATTGATTATCCTGAGAATGCCTGAACACAAGATTCCTTCCTTTTCTCTTCTTCGATATGCGCGTGTGTGAGCAAACTGCGAAGTCACAAATTCAGTTATCGATATGCCCATTGCGACCGAGGCCCTGCATCCCTACAGAGGCTAGTATGAATACAGACTAGACTGGCGCATGACGAAAGGCAGCATCCCCAGCTTTCTTGCCCAGTAACAACCACGACTCAAACACGATTTAAGGCGCTTCAAGACACCTTGGTCTCTTTCCTATCGCCGTCGACTGAGACCTCTCATATCGAGTTTGCGATCGCATACCATCCTTCAGCAACGCGACCAACACTCAACAACACCACCTCCGTCATGGCATCCTCGTCTTCAGCCACGCCGCTGCTCTAGTACGACCCTCACCTAGACTCCTCCTCACAGTTCTAAGGACCAAAGAAGCTAACAGTACCCAGCGCATGCATAGCTCACAACACCACCGTCCTCGCTGAGCACACCGCAAGCGCCTCTTCCAACGCCTCCTCCCTTGTCTCCCTCGTGCTCCCGCGCCTAACTCACACCTCTTCCACCCACAAAACCATCGACCAGAACCAGTTCTTTATCCACTGCCTCATCAAGTCACCCTCCGACTTTCCAACTGCCCAGTCCTCAGCTGGCGGCCTCACGTTCCTCGTCATCGCAGAGCGCGACCTTGGACAGCGCATTCCCTTTGGCTTTCTCACCAACCTCGAGAAGAAGTTTTTCGCAGAGTTTGAGGCAAGCGAAACCGATTTCACCCACTTGCCGCCGTACGGATGCGCGAGCTTCAACGGCGCGCTCAAGAGGTTGATGGTCGAGCAGGGTAGTACGGTGCAGGGACAGCAGGATGCGTTGCGCACGGCGCAGAGGGAAATTGAGGGAGTGAGGGAGATTATGACGGAGAATATCGAAAGGGTTCTCGAGAGGGGAGAGCACATGAGTGTGCTGGTAGACAAGACCGGCCGACTAGGCGAGAATGCTCGCGATTTCAGGGTCAGGAGTCGCACGCTCAAGAGGCGCATGTGGTGGAAGAACGTCAAGTTGATGGTGTTGTTGATTCTGGTGGTCATCTTCTTGATCTACTTGTTTGTTGGGTTTGGATGCGGACTGCCTGGTAAGTGTTTTCATTCTTCTATTGAGGGTAGTGCAGAGCTGCATGCTAACAAGAAGCAGGATGGTCGCGATGCTTGGGACATTGAACGAGTGCCAATAACACTCACACATGTTTCGAACGACCACAAAACGAATTACGGGAGTAGGCAGGAAACATTTGTACGGTGACTGAAAGTGTATCCGGGTCTCTTATCGTCCATTCTATTATACGCAATAATGCAAGGCGTTTGGAGTCATTTACATCCGTAACCCAAACAATGTCCCATCGTGTCCAAACACCATGCCATGCACTTCCTATGCCCATTCCCAGTGATCCCAAATATGCCACCCATTGTCCTCAAACCCGGTTGACAGATGCCAAAAACCCATCTAAACCCCCTAAACCAACCGACCGAACTCTTGAGAAACGCCGAACCGACCAATAATGAAAGAGGAGAAATAAGATCGTCCCCCCAATAGATCCACGCCAAGAACAAACCGATTGAAAACAAACTAAAATAGGTTCCCCCCATACCAGAAAGACAGAAATTTACGTCATTACATACATACAAAACATACATATACCCATACACATGCCACAGCGAGTGGTCGGAAGCACCTATCTAATGCTTTTGTGTCTATATGCTAGAGACGGTGTATCCCACAACATCAAGAAAGTGCAGAAAAAGAGAGAGAGAGAGAAGGAGCCGCCATTTTGATTGTGTTGCTTTTTCGTGAAAAACCTCAAACGCCAAAAAGGGAATACATGGGGGGTAGCGACAGCATGCCATCGACACAAGCCTAGGGGGCCATGACCATAGCAAGCAACGCCATGCGAGTGTACAATCCGTACCTCATCTGTCATCGAGTTAGTGTTCCGCTTTTCCGTACTTGACAATAGAAGACTCACCTGTCTAAAGTACGCAGCCCTGGGATCAAAGTCCACCTCCTCGTGAATCTCGTTGTTCCTCGGCAGCGGGTGCATGATGATCATGTTGGCCTTCGCGCCCTTGAGCACCTTGTTGTCGATGACAAACGAGTCCTTGACCTGTTCGTAGCTTGCGAGATCTGGGAAGCGCTCCTTCTGCACACGGGTGCAGTACAGAACGTCAGACGCAGCGATAATATCAGTCGTCAGCTCGGTGGAGACCTGGTTCAGCTGGCCCTTGGCCTTGAGTCCGTCGCGAACAGTAGAGGGCATGCTGAGGGATTCAGGAGACACCAAATTGACAGTGACGTCGTAGTGGGACAGCAGTTCGCATAGGGAGTGCACGGTACGGCCGTACTTGAGATCACCCACGAAGGTGATGTTGAGGCCGTTGACAGTACCCAGCTCTTCTCGGATAGTGAAGATATCCAGCAATGCCTGAGTAGGATGCTCGCGGCTGCCGTTCCCGGCGTTGATGACAGGTACACCAGCAAACTTCGCTGCAATGTCGATGGACTCTTCGGCTGGGTGGCGCAACACAATCGCGTCTCCGTAGCATCCCAGCGTGCGGATCGTATCGGCGATGGATTCACCCTTCTTTGTCGAGGAAACGGCTTCGTTGACAACGACAACCTCTCCACCGAGACGCTTCATGGCGGCATCGAAGGAAGCAGACGTCCGTGTCGATGGCTCGAAGAACATTGTGCAAAGAACGCGGCCCTTGAGGATGTCGAGACATCCATGGCGCTGAGCACCAAGGCGCATCTCCTGGGCAATGGTGAACAACAGATGAAGGTCCGCGCGAGAGAACTGCTTGACAGAAGTGATATGCTTTCTCTTGAATGGCGACCTGGCAAGCAACTGAGTGAGGGACGGCGAGCCGTTTAGCCCGGACACTTGCAGGCCCGATTGCCCTTGAGACCCAGGAGCAGGTTCAAACTCCTGGTAGTCGACACTACTGATTTCAAGATCGTAATGGCGGGCAATCGCCTCGACCAGCAGCTTTGCGTTCTTGACATTGGTCACTAGGGGAGTCTGGTAGTCGACGGCCATACGTCGTGTTTGATACCCTCTGCTCATGTAGTTCGCCGGTCGTCGGAAACGATTGCTCGATGGCAAGTTGATGTACAAATCGATGAGGTTGTTCGACAAGTGCTGCATCAGCGAGTACTCTGCTTTCTGCTCGTCATGTTCACCACTTGACAGGACTTCCAAGAACTTCACAGGAAGGCCGTGCTCCTGGATGTAGTCCGCAGTTCCGGCTGTGGCGAAGAGCTTGAAGCCCATCTTGTGCAGAGCCTCGATCGAGGGCAGCATTTCCAACTTATCTTTGAACGAACCGATCGAGAAGAGTATGTTCTTGTTGGGCAACCGGAAACCAGTGGCGATGAGACCCTTGAGATAAGCCTCGTACTTCGTGCGGCCGAAGCAAGCTACTTCACCCGTTGAGGCCATCTCTACACCGAGGACTGGATCTGCACCAGACAGTCGCGAGAACGAGAACTGTGGCACCTTCACTCCCACGTAATCAGCAGGAATGTTGACCGGGGGATATTCAACCAGAGGAAGGCCGGCCATGGCCTTGGTAGCCATCTCAATGAGATCAACACCCATGACTTTGGAAACGAATGGGAAGGATCGCGACGCTCGGACGTTGCACTCAATGACCTTGATTTCATTGTCCTTGGCGATGAATTGGATGTTGTAAGGCCCAGTGATGTTCAAAGCGCTACCAATCTTTCGGGTCGCTTCCTCGATCTGGCGGACTGTTTCTGGGTCCAAATCTTGAGGAGGGAGAATGAGGGTGGCGTCACCGGAGTGCACACCAGCGTTCTCTACGTGCTCCGAGATGAAGTGCCCGATCATAGTTCCGTTGCGAGCGACGGCGTCCATCTCAATCTCCTTGGCGTTTTCAATGTACTTGGTAATGACAACAGGATGATCCTTCGAGACATCGGCTGCCTGGTTCAGGTAGTTGCCCAGGTCGTGTTTGGAATACACCGTATTCATAGCAGCTCCAGACAGGACGTAAGACGGGCGCACCAGCACTGGATATGAGACCTTGTCGCAGAATTCCGTGGCCTCCTCGATACTGGTAAGTTCCTTCCAAGCAGGCTGATCGACGTTGATGCGGTCAAGCATACGCGAGAACTTGTACCTGTTTTCCGCGGTGTCGATCATTTCTGGGGAAGTACCAAGGATCTTGACGTTCATGCGGTGGAGAGGCAGGGCGATGTTGTTGGGCGTCTGGCCACCCATGGAGATGATCACGCCGCTCGAGTTTTCCAAGCTGTAGATGTCAAGCACGGTTTCTAACGAAATGTTTTCAAAGTAGAGGCGGTCGGCTTCATCGTAATCAGTCGAAACGGTCTCCGGGTTATACTGTCGAGTAAGTTAGCACATGAAGCAAGCAGTTGTTGGTAGCCGACAAAGACGCATCCGGGGTGGAAACAAGCCGCCCAACTGACCCCTGGACAACTACCATGTGGAAAAAACGCGAGAAAAAGAAGAGAAGAAAAAGATGTAGTACTCACGTTAAGCATTACAGTTTTGAATCCCTGCTCCCTAAGAGTCCTGATCGCACGCACAGAGCACCAGTCGAACTCGACGGAGGAACCGATGCGGTATACGCCAGAGCCCAACACCATGACTCCCTTGTCGTTGAAGTCGACGTCGTGCTCGGTGCCGTTGTAGGTCAAGTAAAGATAGTTCGTGTGTGCTGGGAATTCTGCAGCAACAGTGTCGATTTGCTTGACGACCGGGAAGATACCTGCATCGACACGAGCGCGGCGCACGGCAAGTTCGTTAGAACCCCAGAACTTGGCCAGCTGGCGATCGGAGTAACCAAGCTGCTTCGCTTTCTTCATGAGCGGCTTCGTGATGCTTGCAGTGTTGTAGCTTGACATTGACTTCTCAAAATTGCTGAGATCTTTGAGGCGACTGAGGAACCACTTATCGATTTGCGTCATCTCCCAGATCTTGTCGACACTGTATCCAGACTTCATGGCGTTTGCGATGGCAAACAATCGCTGGTCCGAGGGGGTCTGTAGCTCCTGGTCGATACCCATCAAAGCAGCAGTCTCGCTGAAGCCAACGTTATGGGGATCAATCTCACGAATGGCCTTCTGCATTGCTTCTTCGAATGTCCTGCCAATGCTCATGACTTCACCGACACTCTTCATGGAGGAGCCGAGCAGAGTTGACACACGCGTAAACTTCTTCAGGTCCCATCGAGGAATCTTGACAACGACGTAATCAAGAGATGGCTCGAAGCACGCGCACGTGGAGCGTGTGACCGAGTTCGAAATCTCATTGAGCGGGATGTTGAGACCAAGCTTGGCTGCGACGAAGGCAAGAGGGTATCCGGTCGCCTTCGAAGCGAGAGCGGATGAACGGGAGAGACGAGCGTTCACCTCGATGATGCAGTACTCACGAGAGAACGGGTTCAAAGCATACTGGATGTTGCACTCTCCGACGACGCCGAGGTGACGAATGACATTGACGGCTGTCGTTCGTAGCATGTTGTAGTCCTCGTCCGAGAGTGTTTGCGATGGAGCAACAACGATAGAGTCTCCCGTGTGGATTCCGAGAGGATCAAAGTTCTCCATGTTGCACACAGTGATGCAGTTGTCTTGAGCATCCCGAACAACTTCATACTCGATCTCTTTCCAGCCCTTCATACTGCGCTCGATGAGAACTTGCGGGCTGGCGGCGAAAGCTTTGTTGCAAAGGTCCAACAGCTGTTCATCGTTCTCAGCAAAACCGCTGCCGAGTCCACCCAGAGCGAAAGCAGCTCGGACGATGACAGGGAACCCGATGTCTTTCACGGCGCGCATGGCCTCTTCGACGTTGTTCGCAGATGCTGATTTGGCACACTTCTCGCCGATTGACTCCATGCTACGAGCGAAGAGCTCACGGTCTTCGGTGGTGATGATGGTGTCAATCGGTGTACCAAGAACTTTGACACCAAGTCCTTCGAATTCATCCTTGAGCTGAATGCCCACCTGGAGAGCGGTTTGCCCACCAAAAGTGACATAGATGCCATCAGGACGCTCTTTTTGGATGACTTTACGGACAAAGTCAGCATTGACAGGCAAGAAGTAGACTTTGTCGGCGAGGCCCTTCGAGGTTTGGATGGTGGCAATATTGGGGTTGATCAGGATTGTGTAGATTCCCTCTTGTTTGAGGGCCTTGATAGCCTGACTCCCAGAGTAGTCGAACTCTCCAGCTTGTCCGATACTCAAACCTCCACTACCGAGAACAAGGACTTTCTTGACCTCCACTTTCGGAGCCATTGCCCTGTTCTCCTCGGTGGTGCCACCAGGGAATTCTACAGGCTGCGACATGACTTCGGTTGAGCTGATGGCCTTCTGAATGGTGCTAATGAAGACATCGAAGAGATATTCAGTATCGCGAGGACCGGGAGTGTGCTCGGGATGGAACTGGACGCTAAAGTACGGTCGTCGCGCGTGTCGAATACCCTCGTTACTTCCGTCATTGGCGTTGACGAAAAGCTCTTCCCAGCCGTTAGGCAAAGTCTTGGAGTCCACAGCATAACCGTGGTTTTGCGAAGTGATGTGGCACTTCCCTGAGAGCATGCTGGTGCATGGGATGTTATGACCGCGGTTACCGAACTTCATCTTCAGTGTATCAGCACCCGCAGCGCGCGCAAGCAGCTGGTGTCCAAGACAGATACCAAAGATGGGCGTGCGAGCCTCATCCATGGCGGTCTTGATGTGTTTCACTGTAGACTCCATCATAGCTGGATCACCGGGACCGTTCGAGATGAACAAGCCATCATAGTCCTGGCCAGCAAGCTTGGGAAAGTCGTAGTCCCACGGCACTTGCAGAACCTCGACTCCCCTCCGTACCAAGCATCTCAGCTGGTTGTATTTGAGACCGACATCGACGGTTACGACACGCACAGGACGGCCTGAGGGGTGTTTGAGGGCGGTAGACGGATCGGGAGAGTAGAGCTTGGGCTCCTTGATAGATACTGCGTGCGTGTAAGGAGGATTTCAGTTGAATTTCACACGTCATCAGCTCACCTTCAGCTACCAGGTTCTTCTTGTTGGGGTCCAGCCATTCAACTTGCTCGAAGCTGCTCCTCCAGTCTTCAACCTCCTCGTCAACTGCACCAACCGTAAGTGCAGCTGAGGCTGGGGCTGGTGCTGTTCTCTGCATCAAACGGCCGAGCATGCTCCCCTCCTCTCGGATGAGCTTCGTCAGCGCTCGCGTGTCCACGCCAGTGATCGCGGGTACGCCCTGCTCTTTCAGCCATGCACCCAGCGAAGAGGTGGCCAAGTGATGTGAGTATTCGTCTTCTGCGTATGCGGCCACGACCAAGCCTGCAATGTGAATTTCCTTTGCCTCGAAGTGCGCTGGGACGTCCTTTAGCAGACTATCCATCTCTTCCCGCGAGGGCACACCATAGTTGCCGACTAGGGGGAATGTGATGACCAGGATTTGGCCCCGGTAAGAGGGATCAGTTATCGACTCGGGATAACCGACCATACCAGTCTGAAAGACCAGCTCTCCCGCAATGCTCTTCTCGGCACCGAAGCTTTTTCCGAAGCAGACATATCCATCTTGGAGCTCAAGAGCGAGATTCTGACTTTCGTCTGGGTGTGAAGCCATGGTGAAGGAATGAGAGACAGCTCGAGGGCTTTGTGACCCTTGAGAAGCGAGACTGCCAGACAATTTTGAAGAAAAAAAGAGAATTGAGAAAAAAGTTTTGGGTGAGCTGCGGGGTCAGACCGATTGGCCAACGCCCCACCATTCTCTAGCGCGGTTGCAGATCGAGGGTCGAGGACGGTCAGATCTCGCCCTACGACGCAACAAAAAGCATTCCTCGAACACGGATAACTAGCATTGAATTGTACCAAAGAACCTGAGACACAGGTCTCGAATTTGATAGCCTCAAGCGGTACAACATGTTCCGTTACCTTCATCTTCCAGCATGCAACTTACGGTGATGAGAGTTTTTGTTTTTTCTTCCTCGCAGAATGAGAGCAAGCAGTGAGTTTTACTCGTGCCTCGCTCGCCTAACCTGCCAAGAATATCTGCATCATCAAGCTTTGGATGATTCGCGTTTGGGTAAGCCCCAGCATGGTACTCCAGCGTCAACGTCATGATCGAAGGAAGTCGAAGTAGCGGTGGCCCAAAAACTGACAGGGAGTTGCTTCTTCTAGTTATATCTTGCCCCGGCGGCGTGACACATTTAAATGAAGCATATCAAGCAAGCCTCGTTCATGCAAGGCGGCTACTCTCGTAAGCCAAGGAAGTGGAGGATGGTCATCGAGATTGTCATGACCCCAACAACAGCAAGAGGAGATCATGTGTACCATTCACCTTCGAAGTATAATTTACAGTTCGGGCATTTGGACCGATGGAGAATAACTTCTCCTTAGCTCAGCACTACAGTACCTTGAATCACGTCAGGCAGCGCGAGCATGTGAAAGTCGATCAGAGACATTATTCATGACTTCTGCACCCCAGATGATGTTCGCGCTGCAGCCTCTCCCCGCCGCGATGGAAGGTTTGCAGGACACCCTACCTTGCCGTTCATGGCAGTTTATAACGTTAGCAGCGTTCGTCATCGAGGGTCGTGATAGCCGAAGAGTAGCGTGTGGAGCGATGGTGGACGGTGATTGGCCCCATGCACGTCCAGATCGTGGGGAGAAGACGCGTGAGATAAGAACTACACCTCCTGATCAACTCGTTTCAGCGACGCGATGCGTGATGCCCCGGTAAGTAAAGAGCCTGGAGGCGGTGAGGTGGGTGTAGTACCAAAATAGGAAATTGCCAGGCAGGCCGCCCATGTTCTTCTATGGATCCTTCGCTCTAGTGAAACGGTTCACTCCAGCTTTTCGTGCTCCCGCCACCCACTCACGACGACGCTCTCGAGGAACGCATTCCTCGTGGAGGCGTGACAGAGAAGTTCCATGTTCTCCTCATTCTTGCGATCGGGAGACCGCCGTCCTGTCGAGACCACGCCTCTGCTGGCGGCGCTCAACAGGTATCGCAACCGCCAAGATGCGGAGCCATCCGAGGACGAGGACAACCCAGGTCTGGAGGGCATAGGGCAATACGATGGCGAGGATGAGGACGAGGATGAAGACCGCCGGCGCGACGGACCACTGCTGCCTGTCTTTTCTTCGGAGTTTCTGGGTAGGTGGGAGGCGAGGAAGAGGCCGTTTTCTACTGCGCTGACGGGGGGATTCTAGATCGCGTACCTATCTACAACGCGACCCACGCCATCCGCACGATACTCGTCCAGCGATGCGAGACGACGCTCTCCTGGGACCAGCTGCGTTCGCCGCAGGTGTCGCAGTTCCTCGTCAAGCCTATCCAGCAGCAAATTCGTTCAGACCATTTCTCGCGTGGCGCCCTGTACTGCTTGCTCGCAAATTGCCTCCAGTTTAGGAAGGAGGGCGAAACAAACCCTGGAAACATGGGGGTCAGCAAGACACGGGCTCTCATATGCGAGCTGCTGGCTATGCGGCTGCTGAAGGAGTTCAACACGCGCGAGTTGATCGACGCCCTGTCCTATGACTTTGACCCACTCCAAGGACTGGAAATGTCACGGATAGGCACCGCTACTCCTGGTGGCGCGAACTGGGCACGACAAGCCCGATCTGCTCGCATATCCACGCTGGAGATTGCAATTCGCGCCCAGGCGAAGAAGTTCCTTGCTCATCCTCTGTGTGTGCAGCAGTTGGAGGCGATCTGGGCAGGCACAATAGTTTTCCACTCAGCCGCAGACTCTCTTCATCGGAAGCCCGACACTCCCCGAAGCCGCAACTACGACACACCCGAGAGCATCTCTCCAGGGAGAGGCCCCTCCCGCCGCCCGCCCGTAAAACAAGTACAACCGCAACTTCTACCCGCCGCTCTGTTGAGGCGCACAGTGACCCTCTACGACCCCCACGATGCCTCGCTGTTCAAGCTGTCCCGTCTCCGTGTGCCCCGCTATCGCAATATGTTCTCGACTCTCTCCTTCGGTATCATGCTTGGGTTATTCCTTGCTGTGCTTGTAGAAAAGTCTGACGACATCACGGGTCTTGAAGTTCTCTTCTGGTTCTGGAGTGCTGGGTACATGCTGGATGAGATTGTCGGCTTCTCTGAGCAGGGCTTTGGGCTGTATATCATGAGCGTCTGGAATGCCTTTGACCTTGGCATTCTCCTCATGTTTATGGTCTACTACATCTTGCGTCTCTATGGTATCCTCGTGCCTGGGGTCGGTGGGCATCAAATTGCTAGCATGGCATACAATGTCCTCGGATCCACGGCAGTGCTACTATTTCCACGACTATTTTCGGCTCTGGACCATTATCGATACTTCTCACAGCTACTCATCGCGTTCAAGATGATGGCTATGGATTTAGTTGCGATCCTCGTACTGATTGTCATAGCCTGCAGTGGATTCTTCGTTGCCTTTAGCCTGGCTTTCAGTAACGAATTCGGGGCATCTAATGCGGCCTATGCCATTTTTCAGCTTGTCATGGGATTCACGCCCGCTGCCTGGGACCTATGGGGAGAAGTGAATATCTTGGGCAAATTCTTACTCGCGCTCTTTCTCTTCATCTGTCACTTCCTTGTTGTCACCATCCTGATTACAGTCCTGACGAATTCGTTCATGGCTGTCGTCAAGAATGCAGACGAAGAGCATCAGTTTCTCTTTGCAGTCAACACCATCAGCATGGTCAAGTCGGATGCTCTATTCTCATACATCCCTCCAACGAACATCATCGGATGGCTACTCATTCCCTTCAAGTACACGATGTCTTTCAAAAGATTTCTTCGGATGAACCGATGGGTGATAAAACTGACGCACATTCCGATTTTGTTCACGATTTTCGTATATGAGCGTTTGCTGCTGGCGCACCTTTCGTATGGGCCGGCAGACCTGGTCGAGAGCCGAGGCCGGCCAGAGTCCAGTGGTCCCGTACCGGCATTCAGCATCCGCGGCGAAGTGTTCAGTGCTCGGTTGCGTGAGCCATCAGTAACGACATTCCACAAAGACCGTGCGCTTGAAGAGGTCTTCCGTCGACCATTTCGGGACACCAGCGTTCCGGCAGCTTCGAAATATCCGTCTGGAAGGAGAAATTCGAGTAACGTAGTATCGGACTGGATGAAGAAGATGAACGACGACGACGAGTACAATCCCCCACAAGAAGATGCACGGTCGATTTTGGACCGGCTTGAGGGTCGCAACAGGCCGTACTTTCGACGTGCAAGGACTGCAGGTCAACCTAGACGAAAGCTTCCGTTTCCATCCAGCAAAAGGGCAGCTTCAGATCCTGACGACATCATATCGCCCTTTGCGCGACCTATTGCGGAAGAGGAGGAGCCAGACATGAATATTGACGACGAGCCGCAACAGACAGACGCCGACGGCGATGACGAGCTATTGACGAACGATGAAGACGACCGCGCTAATTCTGATACCCAAGTCACACCCAAGAATCGCACGCCATCCGACAAGGAAAACCAAAGACGTCAAGCTGGATATGAAACTTCTGAGGAAGACTTCTTCCGTACGCCTATGACAGCAATTACGAGAACGCCCGCACGAGATATTACACCACAAGCATCCAGCTTCCAGGATAAGCATAGCACGTCGCCTGACAAGAAGCAAGTCCGACAAAAAATTAGTCACAGTCGTAACCTTTCCAGCAGCACGGTTTTGTTCAGCCCAACGAAGGAAGCCATGGATCTGTCGCGCGCAGCATCTCCTGAGAGACGCCCCAAAACAGGTACGCGTAGCGGAGTTGCGACTCCGGGTCGCCTCGACGGCTTTCCGATGGCTGGTACTCGGACGCCGAAACGTCCAGCTACCTCTACCAGTACCGCACCGCGTCCTCGTGCGATCTTGCCACCACGCGACATAGGCAGACAAGGGCCCAGCGTCGCCCACTTGCTTGACCACAGACAGCGTGCACCCTCCTTCAACGCCATCGCTTTGGATCTGGCGTCAGATATCGGAGATAACAACCACAACCCCAACTTCGGCAATGTCAATACGCTGCCTGCGTCCTTCACAACACAGTTTGAAATGGCTGCGCGAATGAAGGCACACGAGCAGCGTAAAACCAGCGACGGCGACTCGGACTCGAATCGCATGAGCAGGATCATGCTTGCCAGGATGACGACGCTAGAAGAAGGATTCCGCGACGTCTTGAAAGAAGTCAAGGGATTGAACCGTGGAGACAACGGCTCGAGTCAGGCGCCCAGTCGGGGAACGCACACGCCGCCGAATGAGCTCGTGAAGAAGAAGGGCAAGGGGAAGAAGAAGAGCAGTAGGCGGGATAGTGGAGAGGATCGCATGGGGTCCAGCGTCTAGCTGTGACATGGTGTCGTGTTGCATTGTTGGGCATTTTCACTGTACTTGCATAGTTTGCGGATTGGGTGGTTATCTTTCGGGTTTTACGTTGGCATGGCAAGATTGCTTTTGGATGGTATCCCGGTGGGGGCATTTGCGCCTTGTGTAAGGTGTTGGGGACGAGTTGGGTTCGGTCTTGTAGCATATCATCATCGACGTTTATCGCAGCGTGGGCATCAATCAGTATTCGAGTCCTTTTGCGACACAAGCCCAGCGCACGGAATCATGCTGCGTTTTGTAGTAAGATAAAAACTCTGAATTACAAGATTAAATACTCCGAGGACGACGTGCTTGTAGGCGTATACCAATGATCCTCAAAGCGTATAAGTTTCACGTGTTTTCCTTATGTCGTTGTCAAGCTCTGGGTATTTCGGAGCCCCCCAGTGTTCTCGCACCATTCGTTTGAAAAACCTCCATCACAGCGAAGGGTAGACGTCATATAGCACCAACAACTCTGCTATTCGGCTAGGAAAAAGATGAATTGTATATAAAACAACACTTCATGAAAAGGTAACAAGTAAGAATAACATCCACATAACGAGGGTATCAATCACATCCCCATCCCATCTACCAACCCGACACAATCTGCCAAATAAACCCCATACTCCATTCATGATTCATAACTCATAATTCGTCCCTCAGTCTCGCCGCACGGGTATACAGTCACAGCAACTTCGCTTCCTTCCTTGCCCCCACGGCCTTCAAGAACGCGCCATAACTCCACGTCAGATCGCCCGCGCCGCGCATGAATCCCGTCACGCGATCGAACTGCTCGCTCATCGCGCCATCAGCGTCGACATGCGCGCGGACGACGTCGAGGAACTCATCGCCTGTGGCTTGGAGGCGTTCGAAGACGGAGTGGAAAAGGGCGTCGCTGGGCCCGTAGACGCCTGTGTTTACGTCCAAGCTTGAGGTGGCGAGCAGGGCCTCGTAGAAGGGGAGGGAGGTGCGGGAGATGGTGAGGCTGGAGGTGGAGGAGAGGTGGGAAGCGGTGCGGTAGAGGATCTCTGCGGCGCTGGAGGTGCAGAGGAACCAGGGGTTGCCGCCGCGGTTGGAGGTGCCGTACCCGTCGTATACGTCCTCGGGGTAGCGGCCTATGCCTACGCCTTCGAATGCTGAGTCTTGCACTTCGGTGTCGTCGTTGTCTTCGGAGGGGCTGCTGTTTATGGGGAAGCGGTTTCTTTGGTCGCGGGTCAGGGCGAGGAGGGAGACGAGCATCTCGTCGGACCAGGGCGGGTATACTGCGTCATCTAGGGAATCTGAGGGGGGGAGTGCGTGGAGAGATCCAAGGAGTAGGCCGCAGTCGAGACCTGTCCGTGAGTGGTCGAGGGTTTCGACCAAATGCTTCTTCTCGGCATCCCAAAATCTGCTCAACAAATCCTCGATGTGACCAGCCTGCTCAGCATACCACTCAGCTGCCCCATCGTCGCCAAACACCTTCGCCAGCGCACTCCCCTCCCTCAAACTTCTCGCGCTGACCATAAGCGTGAAGAAATGCAGTCCTTCAATCTCCTCCCAGAGATCAAAGCTCGACTGGTTCCAGAAATGGCTCACGTACTCCAAATCCGCCTTGATCACACTGTTCGGCGGCATGCTCGCCTCATAAAAGGGCCCGAAGAAATCCGTAACTTCTTCGGAGCTCCACATCTCGGGATGAGAAGTGTTGTACTCGCGCAGGTAATGCATGAGCGTCAGGGCGCGCAGTGCAGGCCCATCGCGTTGCGGCCTCCCCCACGAGCCCGTAAAGGGCGTGCCGTCGACGTGGAACTTGGGCTCACCGAGGCCGGAGAGGTCGGAGAAGGTACCGGAGGGATTGGATGTGTGTTGAATGTTGCGCTGGAGGGAAGAATACGCGTCAAGCACGAGGGAGAGGTTTGATGCAAGGGACGATGAGGTGTCGTCGGCGTAGATGTCCACGAGAGTGTTCATTGTGATGGCAGCATCTCGGACCCCTTGTTCTTGTCAGTATAGGAATTTCATTGATATTCGAGAGAATATAAACTCACACTGGAACCAATAATCCGGCCCTTGCTGGCTCGGACTCGCGATCACTGTGCCATCTGCCACGCCCTTGCCTCGGACGTTTCGCCCACCCGGCGCGACATTTGCCAGGAGCTTGTCGAGGGCTATGTGCTCTTCCCTCGCTATCCACGCGTCTAATGTGTCTTGCAGCGGTTGCTGAAGTCCCTGTGCATGGTCGGCGCCCAGAAAGCGGTCGACATGGGGCAGAGGTGGTATCGAGAAGGCAAACGCCTGGAGAGCACTGTGCGAGACGAGGATGAGCGGAAGAAGCATGCTGACTACTCGAAATACAAATTCTAACGCGTCAAAAGAATAAAGTCAATAGGTGAGTCCTGCTCAAGTCTAGGTAAGTCGTCTCCAGCCTCCAGATGTCAGTCAGCGATCGAGCAAGGAGGAGCGACTGCTCGAGGCCCGCACGGCCATAATATTCGTGGCATTGCCGTCACAGTCATGGCCATGGCCATGACCATGTGCTGTGCCCCCATCTAGCGAACGAGTAGGATGTCCAGGAAGCGTCTCTAGCGGTCAGTTTAGGCTTCGACGTGTGCGGGTGATGTTGGTGAATGTTCACCACCAAGGCCACGCGAGCTGTCACGCGACAAGGACGGCCAATAGGCTGGCTGCCAACTCCGTACCTTTCGTCATCCGTCATGGTGCGTCCCAGACATGCAAGGAACTCTGCACGCCGCTTACGTCCGATAACGGCTGAAACACCTCGGCTGCTCGTGCAGGCTCGGACTTCCACAAGGGCGCAGAAATGTTCGATGGTGATTGATGCTCGAACATGTGGCTGCGATAAGCCTGATGGAGAATACATCATGGTTGTCGTCTTCTAACTTTTGCTACTTACACTGCCTGTAGTTGTCCACATAGATACGGACAAAGGCGAATCATCGCGGTCGCGTGCCAAGCTGCACCAACTCCGACGTCCAGACACGAGGCATGACTGGTAAGCTGGGCGCATACCAGCAACATCTACGTTGCGCAACTTGTACGTAAACTTTGCGTGTAGTTGCCAGGCTGTCACAAAATTTGCTGCGTTCCGGTCCTGGGTGCTTCGCCCAACCGAGGGCCAGACAACTACATACCAAGTTTTCTTAAAACGTAGGTGTCTCTTTATCACATGTATACGCCCAACCTGCCTGATTTTTCGCATTTCTGACTATAGCTCTGGTGCGTATTTGTCCAGGGGCCACACTTGTCGTGAAATCATTGGCCATGGGAGGGAAGGGAAGTGGGACTAGAGGATGCACCCAATGGACATGGAGAAACACGTCCATACATTTTGCATGCTACGCTACCAGGCTTGTTCGTACCAGTACGGCGACATCACATGATACCATGGAGATAGTTCGACGGATCAGGTCGTCGAGGATTGTCTGAATCCCTTGACATGTATTCAGCCTACATACTTGATCTGCTCTGTCCAGTTTTCCCTGCTCATATAGCTTGATCAGTGCCTTCATAGGACTACCCTTCTTGTTCTATATGCACTCCACATCCGTACCTCTTTTGGATCCTCTACTCCGCTTCGTCCAGTGATCCTTCCATGTCATGGTTGGCAGGCTTGGGGAAAGTGACAATGGGTTTGCCGTTGAAGTAGTTGTTAGTGTCCAGTCGCAGTATGTGGGGTCGAATGGACACAGCGAGGAAGCTGTTCGACGCGGCACTCAGGTCAACGGCTTCGGTCTCGCCCTTGTCGTTTTTCAAGAACGTCTACAGGACCGTTAGTTAGGCGCATACACCGCTTGTGGAAAAAAAGACTTACATCGGCAAAGTAGTCTGAATTGTTCCAAGGCTCCACATTCAAGAAGCGCAGCAGCGTCTGGACGCTGTGGTAGTCGTTCTGTATCGGTATTCCAGTACAGCCAAACCTCTTGTTGCCATGCAGGTTGCATACTGCAAGCGAGATAATCGAGTCTTCGCCCGAGATTGATTGACATTCATCCACCCACATGTATGACCATAACACGAGGTAGAGCGGAAAATTCTGGCGTATGGTTTCCCCCTCAGGCAGAGAGAAGCCAGGAAGAAACGACGCTTTCATCCTGCTTATCGCCAGTTCTTGGGCCTTCCAGTCCCTCAGGACCGTCTGGAAGGTCGTCACTACCAGTTCGTAGGTCATCATCTCTTTGGCCGATACAGGTTCTTTGCCATACACCATGTACCTCAGCTTGGGAATGGACTTCTCGTCCAGCTGTCTAGTCCATCGAGTGAGGATCGCGGGAGGGACGATGAGCAACATGGTCTGCTTTGGGCCTTTGTTCATCTGCATAAGAGCGTGCATGATATAGGTTTTGCCAAAACCCATGCCGTAGTTCAGGAGGACCGTGTTGGGCTTGGCATTCTTGTTGTTGAGGATATGATGGGCCTTACCCACTGCATGCAGTTGGTGGTCTCGGAAGGCGATGCTTTCGCCATCCTCGCTCAGTGATGGGTGTGTAAACTCCTTTGGCGTTATTGCCAGGGAGTGGACTGAGCTGAAGAACGGGTTCTCTTCGTTCAAACCCCGCATGTACAGTAGGCTAGCCTTTTCTCCGTGCTCAATATCCATCTGCGTCTTTTTCTTCTTGTCTTCCTCTTGCTTCTTCCGGGTTGCAGCCTTGTCCCTCTCGACCTTCTCTTTCTTCTCCACATCAGTCAGAACTTTCTCCACGGGCGCGTTTCTGCCCTCCGCAGCTGCCAATCTACCCGCCGCGACTCTCTGGAACAATTCGCATTCTTCGAGTGGAAGCTCGAAGCAAATTTCCATACTATCCAAGCCTGTGTCGACCGGTCCAGGCGCCTCGTCGACCAGTCCAGGCGCCTCGTCGCCTGGAAAAGTGCCCAGAGCCTCCATACTGAGCTCGTCCCAGTCTACCTCCGGAACGTACATCATCCTGTACGTAGGAAGCGCGGGATGTATACGGTGAGAACGAGGTACGATCCTGTTGTTCTGGAGTAGAGGGCGTCGATGAGGTACAAACACGCCGCTCTGGAGAGAAGGGTAAGGTCCAATAAGCGTTGCACTGGGCAAAATATTTGGGTTATCTGAAAGATGTATGAGTCTTGCAGCGAGGACGAAATTGATGTTGGTGGTGGTCTAGCGGTGGAGTAGTGATGGAGTAGTGATGGAGTAGCGGTGGAGTAGCGGTGGGAAGTCAAGCTCACTTCCTAGGTGAAGGTAAACCATTTTCTTCTCTTCCTTCGCCGTGCGCTCATTCCCTGCCTCATCGTACGCAATTTGACGTTTCAAGCTAGTTCCACTCTCTCGCATGCTGTTCCGACCTGTCCAAACTACTCAACACACGGTCTTCCAGGGACCACTTCCTATCTCGATCAATCCCTGATTGCACGAGCTTATAATTCGCGATATTTGCTGGGATGAGAAAGCGGATGATGTCCGTTTGAACAGCTGGTAGGACTTGTAGAAGGATTCACCAAAGGACAGAAAGAACCTCGTTGCAGATTTGCTTCATCCAATACATTGCAAACGATTATAAGTTTATCACAAGGTTCCTCCCGCATGTCATGTTACGTATGAAGCTCCAAGTCATAGCCCAACGTTCAAACGTTCGGGTGCTCTAGTCCTGTGATGGGCTTCGACGTCGTAGCACCTCTTGCAAGAAACGCTTCCTGAAATGCTTCGATGGCTCCGGCAGTTTCCCATCTTTATAATCACTCACTGAACTATCGGAACTCTGCTCGTCGTCTTGACCTTGACCCTGATCTTGTTCTTGCTCTTGTTTGTGCCCTTCTATTTCAACGTCGTCTGAGGCTGCTCCATACGTAGTAACCCAGTGATTGAACCGAGCGTATTCTCGTAGGTCGTCGACATCGTTGACTGGGCGCCCAATGACGGTGAGATACTCCCGTGTAGTGTATAGCAGCTCGGTCGAGCGTGGTAGCTTCCAGCATCTGAAACGGCGAACCAAGATAGCATATTCAATCGCCTTCATTTCCCTAGTAGAGGGTGCCTTGGATGGTGCGAGCAACATTTCGAGTGCTTGGCTCACAGTCATCTCCGTCGAGGCGTCGTACATTCCCTCCTCAACTGGGTTTGCCTTTTGCCTTTTCGTCGCTGGCAGTTCCGCAGTATCCGACCTGTCGTTCCTCTTCTTCATATCCTGCCTCTCGATGGGAGCTGCTGTAGGATGTAATGCCCTGTCGATAACATGGGGAAACATCTGACAGAACGTCTGCCTGATCTTGAGCTTGCGTTCCTCCGCCCGGTTCTTCTTGCTAGTGCTCTTGAGTGTCTGCTCTGACAGCCACTGTGTCCAAACCTTGATGTCTTCGAACCTGAAGGTGTTGAATACGTCATCGTTGCGGACGTAGATCCAGTTGCGAAGGCGCCCCTGCTCAGGCGCTACCCTGACGTAGATTCGCTGGTTAGACTGTTCGTACCCAAGGAATAGGAGATGGGGGTATCTGTGGCTGGCTGTATGCATCACTATGCTGGGGTCTCTGTCGCTTCGATAATCGCTAGGTCCAAGGTCTTCCGTATTTATGTTGTCGTTTGGACTAGGGCTGTTCTTGCTCTTGAAGGGCGCCATATTGACGCTGGTGGATATGGACGGCGTGGGAAATGTGATGATGTAGTTGAAAGACAGTGGCCCAATTAGAGTGGCCGAAGAGAGGTGGCAGAAGCAGAAGCCTTTGATAGAGGTGAGAGACGAGAGTGAGAAACGCGCCAAACTTTCACCGTAGTTCACACACCACAGCCTAAGTTACAGAGCCGCGCATCCCCGTATATCCACGAAGCAGAACATTTTCTCTACAGTAGTCAGCTACCAAGAAATCACAGCGTGGTATTTAGCATTGCTCTGCTACAGTTGAGGCATACAGTACTGCACTAGGGTTTCTCCAGAGAAGGGGAATTTGGGCGTGTAATTGTCCAGGTGCGGGTCAGGAAGCCTCATTTAGCTTCTTGATTTAATGAGCTGCTCCTTTTCTTTTTGCTGATACACGTTATGCTATCTCCATATTTTGCATTCTAGTTACACCATCAGACCGTTGTGTGTCGTGGTTCAACTGTTGTGAAGGCTCTTGTTCCCAGCGCAGTGTGTTCTCTGCTTAGCTAGGCTGCCAACTACATACTATGTATACACCTGTGTTTGACAACGCTGTGGTGTAGCTAGACTTACTACACAGCATTTGGGTGGGTCTTTAAAAGGTGGAACTTGGGGTTGTGGTTGTCTATGTGCAGGATGAGAGGAGAGGTGAGGTATAGATACAGGTAACATTAGAGCACATAGAAAACCCATGATGAAACGCAGACAGATGACATAGGCAGATAACATGCAGAAACCTGACTGAAAACACCATATATAATGTAGAATGGCACAAGACACCAGCTAAGATGCGTACAAACCCCCCACCATCTCCTCTACATGCCTCCCCTCTCAATTCCCACGTCACAGACTCCAATTGCAGTCGCAAGATCCCTGTCGTTGACGTTCAAGTCCAGATACTCCAACTGGGTCGCTGCTTTCGTATCACTGCCGCGGGGAAGTGGTTTAGACACAGGTATATAGATCAAGAGCAGTAATTTCAGTACATCGTTCCACCTAAACCTTCTAGACCTCACGGCATTCATCAGGAAAGACGTTCTCGACCTATGACATTGAAATATTGGTCGCATCCTCTTTAGTCATGCACTTTGCTCTGCCCTGACTATGAAAGGCTGATCCATACCGTGCCATCTCGGAATTGAGCAAACACACAATCCACCGCCTGCATGTCCTACTTCGCCAGGATCCAAATTACCGTCCAGACCAAACGGGCACCGCCTTCTCAAGCCAGCCAAGCGTCACATCGAGCCGATTGGCATGAACAGTAAACACATCGAATACTTCGCATAGAATCCAGGCTGTAATTCGTTTCCACTCTGTTTCGAAGCGAAGCCGGTCACCAGATGATAGACCTCCTTCTGCATGGGCCATGTCTTGAGTGTCGTTGGCGTCTTCGGGGTCTCTCTTCATCATCATCAACAATCTCGCCATCAGAACACCGACCATATCTTTTCGCTGTTTGTGGCTGGCGTCTCTGCACTCTTTCAGTTCTCCAGCTTCTATCGACTGGTACACTGCGCGTAGTTTTGCTGTTTCCTCCCTCATTCTGGCCACCAGTGCCCGGAGACTAGCAGCAGTGGTACGGATGCAGTCAGCCAGTTGTAGTATATGATTCTGCACCTCGAGACCGGGGAGGCGGTGGCCAGTATCAGGGTTTATGTCGTTAGGATCGAGGGGAGGGCGTAAATGCATGGCTTGCAGGATGTGGGATAGACCTATCTTGAGGGTATCCGAAGCTCGCACCATATCGTACATGGCTGAGTAGTAGACGGCCTTTCGGGCCTGCGACAGACTGAGCAGATGAAACTTGTCATGAGGTCCGAATAGCTGGCGCGGTGGCAAAGCACATGCTATGTCTGGTATCAGTGTTTGCGATGCGCTGCTCGAACCGATGGCCCTGTTCAGTTGGCTGCACCCATCGGCCACTGCGCATCGAGCGTAGGTGAATACTTCCGACAATGACGCCATGACCGTTTTGACTGTGTTATCCAGTTCAGTACGCTTCTCGAGACTTATGGTGGTCCGGCGCTTCATTGAGATCCCTGTCTTGAGGGGGAACTCCGTTATAGATTTGTTGTCGTTGCTTGCAGCGGCGACGGCGGCGGCGCTGGCCTTGTTGGTTGTATCCATTTGTGTGGTGTATGGAAGTTGGGAGGAAGAGAGGCTGAGACTACAAACGATAGGCGGTGTGCACAGACGCGCTGCTGCTGTTCACGCTGTCTTTCACTCAAGCCTGCTAGTCTGAGCTCATTGCCGTTGTTACAGACTTTACTTCACATACTACTAGTTATTCGCAGAATTACTCGAGTACTCCATATTTCTTTTTGCCTACAATCGTATCCTACAGTAGACATGGTAAGGGTCTAAATAGAGTGCTTTCTGACTGTCTACTTGCTCGCACGATTTTCATGTCCCCTCTCTCTGAAGCGTTCGATTGGAGGAAAAGGTTCCAAGAAAGGCAGCAGACTACCACGGTACAGCTCAACGTACCTCCATACAGAACAAATGCAAGATAACAACGATCGTAAGATAGGAGACAAATAGAGTAATCGCAACTTGGTACATACAGATAACAGATTCCGCAAAACCAAGCGTTGAAGGTGCTGTAAAGATCACACCGCCACTCGATTGTCAGCACATAGGCCCAGAATTCCGCCTCCCTCCACTCCTGATGAGGTGGCTCCGGTCGAAGCAGCTTATGCTTTCCCTCATGCTCCACCATCCTTACACAGATACGTGCCAACCTGGTGCATCGTGAACACACAACGTCGCCATCGTCTTCTTGCAGTTCGCACCCGCGTGCATAAAGTTTCATGTTGACGCATTGACTTTTCTTTGCTGACAGTGCCAGCGACATGAAATTGTTGAACAAATGGACTTTCTGCGAATCTGTGCAGTACATGCCATCGAACAGTGCACGCAGTGTATCCTTTGCGCTGCGTGTAAGTTCCTGAAGCTCTAGAAATCGAGGAAGTTTGGACCAACATAAACAATCCAGTCGGTAGTGTCCGTGTTGCTATCGTTCTGAGACCTTCGAGAGCCACTTGCTCGTGGTCGTAGGCTCTGTGTTGGTGTTGAGCGTTCCAAGAGTGAGTGATGCATCGCAGGGTTGGTCTGTTGCTGTGTAGGATGAGTGGCAGCTTGTATTGAAGGTGTAGACGCTTCGTCTCTGTTGATGCCTGCAACCTCATCATTGTTCGAGATTGTATTGTTGGTTGGAAGTGGGAGACGGTCTAGCTTCTCACACAAATCCTTGGTAGCGATTGACATATTGTCATGCCCTGCCCAGGACAAAAGGATAAAGGGCGACACTTCCGTTTTCCAGATTTCGTACAGGTCGTCGCCAAGAAGGTTCAGTTGTCCCATGCTGTCGGAAGATGGCACCGTGTAGGTACCTCGTAGTGTGCTGTTGATGTTGGCAGCATAATCGTCCGGTCTTTTGTCCTGCTTTCTAGACAAGTTCTGGTGTGGAACTGCCGATTGGGTTTGCATCCATGCAAGCCGCTTGGCTTGTACGGCTTTTCAATGGATATATCCTGTCAGGACTTGGCTGCTTTGAGCTGACCCAGCGTCGGTCAGGATGCTGGGGAGATGGGGTGGTGAGTGGTGAGTGGTGAGTCTGTCTGGTCCGCCGCCGGGCTTCAATCTCTTCTCTTTTCGAACGGGAATCTGAAGGAGGTTTGGTCTCTTGACAATCATGGGACGTGCTACCGTGTCTTCTGGCTGTGCGTTTTGAGCCGTCGCTGCTGGTGGAGTAGTATAGCTTGGATGGTGAGAGGACGGCGTGGGTAGGAGGACATGGAGTTGCTGTGAGGCATCTTGTCGGGTAGGATGTTATGGCTGGAAAATACGCTCTAGGGCTTGGGGGGTTTGATAGCGTCCGAACGTTTGAGCCTGGAGAGGGCCTGTGGAAGCTGTAAGAACGGAACGCAGACGCTTTGAACAGGATATTTACCTCTTGTCGGCGGCGGGATCGTGAGCAATGTATCGGACGTCTCATGCTCCGCGGTACGTTGTTTCCGTGCTGTGATGGCATTAGTACAGGACGAATGTGAGAGATGGTGTACTTACCACTCTTCTTACGAACTGTTAAGACAGTTGGAAGCGGGCCATCGGTGAATCCTGCCATAGTTGCTAGGTGGTTACTCAGTGACGGGTATGAATGGATGATCGAGCAATCCTAGCTGCTGTCTGTGCCGTTGTTCAAAGCAGCGTTCTTGTCGGTACCGACAGACGATATGTCACCGCAGGTAAGTGCAGACGACGTGAGGGATGTAAGTAGAAGTTTGTTGGAGGAGAGAGATGCGAGAAGCGTGGTGAAATAAGAGTGTCAGAGGAGAGCTGGTGGAATGTAGATGGCCTGGGAGGGGTGGTATATATAGTAGAAAGGTGGTAGAAGCTTTCAACGATGGTGAGTGGAAAGAGTGAGAGACGAAGGTGAGAGATAATAATATATAGTAAGAGATGACAGTGAGAGATGACAGTGAGAGATGACAGTGAAAGACGAATGTGAGAGACGAAGGTGAGAGCCTTAGGTGAGACACTCAGGTAAAAGACTCAGGCTCGAAACTCTCATAAAAGCACCACAAACCGACAAACCAGCCACATGCCACACTCAACTTGGTACCACAACGAAGGGCAACGAACGGTGGTACATATGTATCAGTGTAACGTTGAACGGTGAAGGTGACTCACACCATATACACATGTCAAAACCTCCCAACTCAACCACAATTCACGACCCAAAGCCGAACCAAACTTCGATCAATGGCTGCCTGAGCTCTCGAACACGCGACCGCATTGGTACATTAAGCAGCTAGTCGTCAAAAGACGGCTGATTAGCTCTTTGTCACTATTACTGTGTACTCTTACTGATGTTTACTGTGTAAAAGGGGTCTGGGTAGTAGCTTCTACACTGAGTAAATGCACTGGATTTTTACTGTGTTACGTCTATTCGCTTGGACTACGAGCATGAATACGCTATGAACCTAGAATAATATATGTCAAGATTCGTGATAGCGTGACGTGACATTCGAAAAGTACTTTTCCTGGGTTTTGGGCGTTGAGTGCATGTGCGAACCCGTCCCCAGCAACCTCGAACCCCCAACGCATCATTCAGCACCGCTCCACCACAGTCGGCGCACACAGCACCACACTCACATTTCTCAAGGCGGCAGATTCAAGCGTGTAGTTGTCCAGTGCGGCCTTGTTCAGCTTCTCTGTTTGATGCGTGAGCTGCTCCTTTCTGTTGTTATGCGCTGCGTTCTTAACACACTGCTATATTGTCGTGTGCCGTGTTGTGTCATGATGGTGCTTGGTTTGGGTGGGTTGGACTGCTGGGCTGGTGTTATGCTCGTGCCTTATAACGCTGTGACTTACTACACAGCGCTTTGGTGGGCGTTTGGGAGGTGGGATTTAGGGCTGTAGCTGTCTAGGTGGTGTTTTGCGTGGGTGTAGCGGGAAGGGAGGAGAGGAGAGGAGGGGTGTAAGTACATGGGATACGAGAACAGATGGAGAAATCAATGGTGGTGCGTGGGCAAGATATACCATGCAGAACGCGAGTAGGAATATAATCTATATGTAAGCCAGCAAAAGACATCAATACCAATGCATACGCACCCCCCAACCATTTCCCTTCTACACCTCCCCTTCCTACAAAACTGCTCCCACCCTCTACTCTACGCCTGCTTCGTACTAACCAACACCGGCTGCTGTTGACTACTCGCACTACTCGCACTCGCCCCATGCCCACCTCCCTGCACCATCTGAACCAAACTCCAATCCCCAATCTGCTCATCCAAAAACTGATCCCTATCCAACCCGACCATCTCCACCTCCTCACTAACCCTCAAATGCATGCCGGGCAAAAACTTCAGCCCATAAAGCAGCACACAAGAAACGCCAAACGAGTACGCAGAAATCGCCACGATCTCCGCAAGTTGGCGCCCAACCTGCACGCCGACGCCGTCCATGGCGCCGAGTCCGTCGTAGGGCCCCATGCCGTCGAGGTCGTAGAGCCAGGATTGTGCGAAGAGACCCGTGAGGAAGGAACCCACCATGCCGCCGATGCCGTGCAGTTTGAAGACGTCCATGCCTTCGTCGATGCGGAGCAGTTTGTCGATTGAGCCGCAGAGGGCGCAGATAGCGCCTGTGAGGAAGCCGATTAGGGCGGCGAGCCAGGGGGAGACGAAGCCTGCTGCGGGGGTGATGCCGACTGTTTTTTGGGTTAGTTTGGTGCATGGTAATGTGGAGGGGGGGGGGGAGACGTACCCAGACCAGCAATGGCGCCGGAGCAAGCGCCCACGACGGAGAAGTGGCCTTTAGTGCGGACGTAGTCTACGAGCGTCCAGCCCAGCACGCCGAAAGACGCAGCCGTGTTGGTGTTGAAGGCTGCGAGCATCGAGCGCATAGTCCCGTTCAGCGCACTGCCGCCGTTGAACCCGAACCAGCCGAACCAGATGAATACCGTCCCGATGAAGACCAGCGTGGGGTTGTGCGCCTTGCCGTGGATGGCGTCGCCCTTGGGGAGGCGCTTGCCGAGGACGAGGGCGTAAGCGAGGGCCGACCAGCCGCTGGCGATGTGGACGGGGCCGCCGCCTGCGAAGTCGAGGGAGGGGAGGTTGAATAGCCAGCCCTTGCAGAAAAGTAAGGTTAGCTGGTAAAATATAAGTTAAGGGGATAGACTTACATTGGCGTTCCACGTCCAGCACGCAATGGGGCAGTATACGATTGTCGCCCAGCAGAAGGCGAAGATCATCGACGGCAGGATGCGGCCGCGCTCAAAGGAGCCGCCGATCACGAGCTGTACGGTGACCGCGCAGAAGAGCATTTGGTACAGGCAGAAGACGATTTCGGGGAGGAAGGCTGAGCCGGGCGAGGGGGCGGACATGACGTTCTTCAGGCCGAAGTTGTCTGGTACGCGTCAGTTGGATGGTGTTTGGTGGATGGAGATGGAGAAGCATACCCATATTGCCGATGAAGGGGCCAGCTGTGCGTGAGTAGGCGAGGGAGTAGCCCCAGAACATCCATTGGAAGCAGACTCTACGATCATATTAGCATGCCGAATCTTGCTGATAGTTCGATTGTATGATGGTGAACTTACACTCCCATGACTGCGAGTGACTGGAATAGTAGAGCCAACGCCGACTTGCGGCGAGCAAGACCAGAGTAGAGAATACCAATACCGGGGATAATCAGCCAGACGAGGAAACTCATGAGCATCAGGTAGATGTAGTGGAACTCCAATCCCTGGTACTGAAGGTTGACATTCTCGACATCTGGGTTGCCGCCATTGGGCTTTGCCGGGTTAAACTCGGGCTGTGGAAGAGAGTCAGTCATGTTTCGTGGAGTATATCATAGAGCTGTGCATATGTATAAACTTATAAAACGACTGCAACACTTACAACAACTGGATCCATCTTGCCGTACTTGACCTACAGTCCAATCTCAAAACCAACAAGACACTGGAGCAACTCTGAAGAAAGAAAGAAAGAAACAGCACCACAGGGCGTAAATCAACGCATATAAAGGGTCTCACCACCATCGCGGGTACCCGTCAACGCGCGCAGAACCACCATACCGGGACCGCAGACCCAGCAGCAGTAATCATACCCGCGTACACTCCCAACTCCGTCCAAACCGCCGCCTTGGCACTGATAAGCCCACGAATCCAGACAGCATATTGGACTTGACAACGATCTCGCCTCCCGTGCAGGATCGCGTGTGAATTTCCATCCACGGTCTGCAAGCCCAGTTGCGCAGGGAAAGATCCACACGCTGATTGCGGCCACGGTTGCAAGCCGGATGGAGCCCAAGTTCCGGGGACGAGTCTGGAAAAGTGCGAATGGGAAGTTGTGGACATGGTGGTGTTGATAAGACACGGGCCAGAAGCGGTTAGCTCTTCGTCGCCGTTGTGATAAAGGGTGGCCTGGGCCGGGGTTGAGGTCGCCTAATTGCCATGTGCAACGGCTGGTATGTACTGTAGGTCCGTGGTCGACTGAACGGGTATCCGCTCGCTAGTTCTGCGGCTTACACGAGCTTGTCTGACTGACGGTGGTTGCTGATTCGATATGCGGTGGTCCGTGTATCCGAACCCCCATGCAGGATGTAATTATAGAGGTCTTGTACAACTACAGTTTGCCCATTCCTAACTCTTTTGCGACGACGTTGCATGTGAATGTAGTGTGCAACGCGAGACGCACGAGGGTTGTCGATTGGACGTGGTGCAGGGATGCTGTGCCTTGAGGATGCGTGAGGTCGGACCACAATTTGCGTCCCCTGCTTTAGGCGAGCCGCTGTGGGGTATGGTTGCGCGTTGTGTTCAAGACAGATGGGTTTGACAAAGAGTACTGTCTCACGTCAGTCGCGTGTATTCTGCCGTAGTTTGTTGAATTCTAGACGTATGCACACTGTAGATTTATTCTGGTCAGTGGATGATCCAAACCGAAGAATTATACTCAACGATAGTAAGGCTTGATGAAGATGCAACAGTGGAGTAAACTTGCGATTAGCACAAGACCTAGCTATTCTAATCTCTTCCATCCGCCAACAGCGGCGTCTCTTCAGTATCGGCAGCATCCGTCACATCCCTGTCAATCCTCCTCATCTCCCGCCTGTCTCGCCAGATGAACCACAAACTCAACCCGAGCAAGCAGCCCTGCAGACATCCCGTCAGTATAAAGAGACCCCATGCGCTCCAACCCCCAGGACCTAGTCTCGCTGCCAAACTCGCGGCAAACACGAAGCTGCCAGGCGTCTGTATGCACATCATAGGCACCGACAAACTGCCCGTCTCTTGCAGCTTCCAGGTCGTCATGATCTGGGGTATGTACTGGATAGCGGCGAGGGTAGTGCCTAGTAGGCCGAGGAAGTTTGCCCAGGCGCGTGTGTGGGAGGGCAGGGCGTAGAGGAAGATGATGGAGCCGAGGAGGGCGACAACGAAGAAGGCGAGGGAGAGGGCGAGGACGAGGACAGCTTCTTTCCAGGTGGGGAGACTGTGGGGTGAGTTTTCTTCTTCCGAGGGCTGGGGGTTGCGCGGGAAGAAGATGAGGAAGAGGAGCATGCTGGGTGGTGTTAGTGGATGAAATTGTATGGAGAGAACAAGAATAACGCACATGAAGAAGAAACACGTCCACTGCACGCCAATCTGTGCAATGCCCAAGAGTGCAGCTGTGCAGGGGAACGTGCCAATCTCTTTGCAACATGCCATGTCCTGTGTGCTCTCAGGCAGCGTCAGGATGTTGGCGATGCTCGCTGTGCCCGAGACTGTGCCAAGGAGGACAAAGAGCGGACTCAGGCCGCGAGAGGAGCGGCGCGATATGATCTTGTAGTGCTGTGGCAGGTAAGAGACGAGTATGCCCAGGACGAGGAAGCTGTCGAGCAGGCGGTTAGCGGTGAATAGTGGGTTGCACGCGTTGAGGCATACATGGAGACGGCGAAGTTGATGATGTCTGGATGGGCCAGTTCCTGGCATCGTGAGTGATTTTGCGGTATCATGACTGCGGCGGTGTCGTGTGCTGTGGATGTTATGTCGTGGGTGTTGGTGTCGAGGTGTCCATCATGGTGGATGATGCAGACGCGACGCGGCAGGCCCAACCGACCAGCCTCGGCTTCAGCGCATCTCCATCCCATCTCTCCAGCACGACGACGCCAATGCCCCGGCGCCCGACACGCCCACCACGCCGACCATGGAGTTCCTGCCCACGCTGCAGAACGGCATCGACGAGCTGAAGCCGTCCCTCTTCGAGCTGCTGTCGGAGCAGCAGCTGGCCTCGCTCCTCCCGCCCTCGCTGCGCTACCTGCTCGCCATCTCGACCCACCGCTACCCGCGCTACCTGCTGCCCGTCCTCAACTCGTTCGATGAGGTCTACGCCGTCCTCACCCTGCTGGTCGAGCGCCACTTCCTGCGCACCTACGGCGGCTCCTTCACCGAGAACTTCTACAGCCTGAAGCGCGCCCGCGTGCTGCGCGTGAAAGGGGGCGAGGTCCCGCGCGCCCAGCTCGGCGCGGGAGACAGCGTGCGCGAGGCGGTGCGGCTGGGCAGCGGTGACGTGTGGAAGAACCTCGCCGTGCTGGTCGGCCTGCCGTGGCTGAAGCGCAAGTTCGACGAGGGCTACGACGTGCACGCCGCACACGCGAACCTGCTCGGCCCGGGCTACAACCGCCAGCGCGACGGCCTGCGCGCGGGCGCCGGCCTGAAGGAGCGCCTGATGTTCTACTACAAGTGGTTCCTGCGCAACGTCTACCCGAGCGTCAACGCCGCCTACTACTTTTCGCTGCTGCTGTTCAACATGGCCTACCTGTTCGACGGCACAAAGTACCACTCGCCCTTTCTGTGGATGATCGGGACGCGGATACGCAGGCTGGGCGAGGCAGACCACCGCGCCATTGCCCTGGCCAATGCGCCGCGGCCAGTCGGGCCTGCGCGTCCAGGCGAAGGCGGCTCCCTCTTCTCGCCCCGCAACCTCGCGAGGAGCGTGCAGCCACGACTGCTGAGCTCGCTGCGCATCCTCCTCCCGACCAGCATCTTCGCCCTCAAGTTCCTCGAGTGGTGGCACGCCTCAGACTTCGCCCGCCAGCTGTCACGAAAGGCTGCCGAGAACATCGAGCTGCCACCCCCGATCCTGCCGTCTCTCCCGCCTTCTTCTACAAAGCAGGCCGGCGCGAAACAGCAGACCAACGCCTCTGGCAAGCCCCACTCTACCAAACCAAAGCGCATCGACCCGCCCATATCCGCCTCGACCCTCCTCCCTATCCTCACCGTCTCGACACCACCATCCTCAGGCCTCTGCCCAATCTGTGTCACGACCATCACAAACCCCACAGCCTCGCCAACAGGCTTTGTATACTGCTACACGTGCATACATCGCTGGGTCGAGGGCACACACGACCACCAAGTCTCCTTCATGGAAGGTGCGCCAGACTTCAGGAAAGCAGACGACGACGATCAAGTAGAAGACGAGGGCTGGAACACAGAAGACGGGAGCCGAGAAGGGCGGTGGGAGAGTGGAAAGGGGAGAGATGCCGTGACGGGGAGGAAAGTGCTTGGTGGGACCGAAGGATTGAGGAGGGTTGTAGTGTAACCCACTGAAAATTTTGATGCTGAGATACCTGTAGCTACACCTTTTAATGAATGCCTTCATGACGTCGACTTTGCCTCGGCATCACGAAGCTCTGAACAGTCATAGGAATCACCACCAAGCATTGAACAGTCACAGACTGCACGTCCTCGAGCAAAGGGCGGTGCGCTAAGCTGATATGCGTTAGGATTCCGTCGCGTAGAGCTGCCGGATCGGTCCATGCTAGCCAATGCGAACGGCTCGGGGATCCCCACTTCTCACTCTTTAAAGCTTGGATTTGCCTCTTCTTTGCTATCATTTCAAGGTCTTCCTGCTGGCTCCAGACACTGATTGTGAGATTGAAAAAGAGACACCAGGCCGGCTGCTTGGAATCTTAAAAAGATGGCTCCGCCTTCATCAACACACCCTATCAGCGACTTCGCAAACGACGTCACAGCGCAGATGGAGGGCTTTGCCCAATCAACAGACATTGCAGAAGAGTCAATTGCACGGGATCTGGAAGGCGACAACTCAGAATCAGAAGCAGAGGACGACGAAGACGACGATGGCGATTCCTCCGGATCCTCGACTGTGCGCCAGTTTTCCATGATCGACTCGTATCGCCGGCCCTCGTACGTCAATCCTGGCGCCCGTTCGACAGCAATTGGCCCTTCAAGCGTGCCAGAACGCAGCTACATGTCCACGTCGGCAAAAAAACACAGCTATCTCTCCAAGCGAGAAAGGGAAGCTGTGCGGGATGACCAGCGCAGTCTGCTCCGTGATAACAATCTCCTCCCGCCCAAACACCCGCGATCTGGGAGTGCGTCTTTTCCCCGCCCCAGGATGTCTTTCCCCGCGCTGCAGAAGTCTCGCAGCACCCCGGATGTGGAGGCTGCTGTTGATTCGGAAATATCGGAGCATTCGGCGCTGCTGGGAGAGCGTGATAGACCGTATGGAGGCCTGGATACGCCTAAGAATATTAATCGCAAGTGGAGTGAAGCGGTTGCGGCTGGCAAGATCAACACCAGCTGGCAGAGAGAGGCCAAGGTCTTGACAAAAAGCTCTGCGCCCATGATTTTGACGTTTTTGTTGCAGTACAGTTTGCCCGTTGCAAGCATCTTCACGGTCGGGCACATTGGGAAGATGGAGCTGGGGGCTGTGAGTTTGGCTGGTAGTGAGTTACCCTGCAATTTGCATGTTTCGAGGCAAGATTCTCTTGAAAACTCAATCAAATTCTAACAACCATCAGTGACGGCTTCAGTCACGGGCTACGCAGTCTACCAGGGACTAGCAACATCCCTCGACACACTCTGCGCACAAGCCTATGGCTCCGGACGACCCCATCTCGTCGGCCTCCAATTCCAACGCATGCTCTACTTCCTCCTCGTAGTCACCATACCCATATCCGTCATCTGGGCATTTGGCACAGAGATCATCTCCCTCATCGTCCCCGAAGCAGAGACCGCCCGCCTCGCAGGTCTATACCTACGAATTCTAATCTTCGGCGCCCCCGGATACGCCGCCTTTGAGAGCGGCAAGCACTACGTGCAAGCCCAGGGCATCTTCAGCGCGACAATGTACATCCTGCTCATCGGCGCGCCGTTAAACGCGTTCCTAAACTGGCTGCTAGTGTGGCATCTAGGCTGGGGCTTCATCGGCGCGCCCATCGCCGTCGCCGTGACAGAAAACGTCCTCCCGCTCCTCCTCTTCCTCTACGTGCGCTACATCGACGGCTACCAGTGCTGGGGCGGCTTCGACCGCCGCGCCCTGAAGAACTGGACCCCCATGATCAAGCTCGCCCTCCCAGGCCTGATCATGGTCTTGGCCGGTACGTCCCCCCCCCTCCACACCCTCCCAACCCAACCCATCTAACCCCCACCAGAATTCCTCGCCTTCGAAATCCTAACCCTAAGCTCCAGCTGGCTGGGCCCGACAGAACTCGCCGCCCAATCAGTCCTCGGCAGCATAAATGGTCTAACCTTCCAAATCCCCTTCCCCATCAGCGTCGCAGCCTCCACGCGAATCGCCAACCTGATCGGCGCCACGCTCGCCGTGCCCGCCAAAACCGCCGCGAAAGTCGCCATCGTCGCCTCCGTCGCGGTCGGCATCTTCAACCTCCTGCTCCTGTCTCTGCTGCGCGAGTACATCCCGCGCCTGTTCACGCCGGATCCGGATGTGAATCGTATGGTCGCGTCGCTGCTGCCGCTTTGCGCTACGTTTCAGGTTTTCGATGCGGTGGCTGCGGCTTGTAATGGCATTTTGAGGGGGTTGGGACGCCAGGAGATTGGTGGGTATGTGGGGCTTTTTGCGTATTATGTGGTGGGGATTCCGATTAGTTTTGGGACTGGATTTGGGGCTAAGTGGGGGCTTTATGGGCTTTGGAGTGTAAGTTTCGAGATGTTTCGAGATGAGTGTGATGCTAATGTGGAGATTAGGGTCCCGCGATTGCGCTCGGTATTGTGGCTGTTATCGAGGGTGTGTTTATCTATAGGACGAGTTGGGATAGGGCGGTTGAGGCGGCTAAGGTGCGGAATGCGGCAAACTAGACGCAGTGTATGTGTTTGTCGGATTAAAACGGTCGGGTGTGTAGAGGTATGTGGGCTTGGATATAGATCAGTCGGTGATGTGTATGATATACGCCATTCATATGCCATGTACTTCGGCCTGACCTTTTCTTTTCTTTCCTCCAACCAATCACCTGACAAAGCATATATAAACCCGTCTCCCCCCCCTCTCCTTCTCTTTCT